GGACTTGTAGTATTAAATTGCACTTGCTGTTACCATGGTTACCATCGTCTTGCCAAATCAAAGTTTGTACTGAAGGTAATTGCTAAGTTCATAGTAACTACTTGCTAGTTTCAAACTTGTGATTTACTCTGCAAAGAAATGTCTTAGTGTTTAAAGAGTAGTAATATGTAAATTGGTTGCTATGAAACATCTCAAGAAAACCTCTCAACCAATTAAACAAAAAGTTTCTACCACTAAACTGTAATATGACCTTCAAAAGTAATCTTTTAGGCAAACCTGACTGCCAGCCGTTTGTAAATTTGGGTTATTTGCTTTCATTTATTTCTAAGTTCATGTAGATAGTGAGGTGGTGATAAGAGTGAGTGGGAGAATGTCTGATTAAGCTAATCTAACTATTTGAGGTACACTGTGTTTTTTTGTGAAATATAATTTGAAATCTTCTCAGTTCACATCATTATTGGACAGCAATTTTGAAGGGTTGGGTATTATCAGCAACCAAATGAACTATTTTACTCCTCAGTATGTTACAATTATATCTGCCAGGTTGAATGTGTAAATATTAACCAAAAACTAATCTAATACCTGTACCTTATTTTGGTGAAGTTAACACACCATAACTAGGGCAAAGATTGAACTTAGGAACAGCTGGTGAACTAGCTGCAGGTTCTACTCACAGGGTACAGAGGGCAATAAGTCTTTCCTTTCTTCTCTGACATTTGCAGGTTGAATGTAGCAACCTGCTTTGCATGCTCGCGTTGCTCATTCAGCTTTGCCTGCCAGATGGACAAAGAAAATCAAATGCCTTTTATCATCACATTGACTGAAAAAGAGTATTACATATATTCACCTGGGTAAAGTTTTTTTTCAGAGGGCTTTGACCCTTTAATCAATTCTTGGGACATGCTGATCTGTCTTAGTGGCAGTTTTATTGAACCATGAAACAATATTGCAAAAACAACATGTAAGTTGTTCAGTTTTGAATTATAATTTCCCAAGTGTCCCACACTTCTTTCCCAGTGTGGAAAACAGGATGAACCACCCATAACTCCTCAATTGTTGAGATTTCCTTTTTTGCTTTTACAAGTTGTTATTGCTGTTTTTACATTGTCTTGACATAATGGTTTCAGTTGTATCTACTGCCTCTGGCTTTGACGAACCAACAGTTTCTACATATGTTTTCTGATACCATTTTTTTCTTGACATGAAACAAAAAAAAAAAAATCCCAAGAGCACTCTCAAATCACTTTTACTTTTAGTTAACTTGCAGCTGACAGAACGTAATAGGTATTTCAAAAGTTGCCAAAATAAAATAGGAAAAAATAGTGATTATTGAAGCATTTTACAAACTTTTCTGAAATTTTTTTACAGTACTAAAGCCGTCGTCCACTTGACCTGCACAATCATAGTTTTTAGCCACACTAGCAGCGTGGCTCTGCCTGTGGGTTGGTCTGCTACTTTGGTCCAGACTGTTGGATGGATTGCCATGAAATTTTGGTTCAGACATTCATGTTCCCATCAGTACAAATAACTTTTGGTGATCCCCTGACATTTCATCTTTCATCATTGCACCTGTTAAGAATCAAGTTTAAGAATCATTGTTATTGTGAAGCGTGCTAACATTTACCTCATGCAGAGTATGCATGTTGTTGTGTGGCTGTAGACTCTTATTACACACCTGTTCTTCCTCCATGCACTGCTTGTCTCTCTGTTGCTCTTTAATCAGTAAGAGTTTCTCCTGGGCTTTTTCCTCTGCCTGCTGATGCTCCCTCAGGTACACTGGAACATTTCTTTGGGCTCGCTGCATACACAGGTAGCACAGCTCCTACGAGGAGGCCACATGAGCGATAATGTAAACGATTCGTGTTTATAGGATTAAAATATATACTGTGGTTATTTTTCTCGGCATTTGAATACAAACATCTTAAACCTGTTATAATGGATATGGTGAACATGCAAACAGCTGCTTATTTAGACATCAAGCAGACACACACATTTGGAGTTGTGTTTCTGTCCACTTTCTAGCTGTGTTTTATTCTCCACCAACTTCTGAGGGAAATATCAGGCTCTTTAGCTTCTAACTGCACCACATTGTACGTCAGCTAGTGGCTAACTGTGGGATTTTTGACCTTTTTGTGATGGAAACTGCTGCCTGCTGGAAGTGAAAACAACACCGTGGGAGCAGTGAGACTGAATCACAACAGTGAGTTTGCAGGTGGGAAAGTGTAAACTATGATTCCGATTTGAGAACACCCACAGTTCCCTTCACAGAGACCCGAGCTGCCCTCAAAGCAATAACATTTTAAATTTGGCCTTGTCAAGCCTTACTTAAGTTATTTCAAATGTACTGCCATACTCCATCCCTCCTTATTCTGTTTGGTCTCTGGAAGGCTGGAGCCTATCATACCATACACTAGATAAGAGGAGGCCTAATTTCAGTCCATTTCAATCCAGTTTCCCAGTCACTCCACTAGCACAGATTTTAGAGACCACTATAAAAACCAGACTAAATCTACACTTACACACCTACAGTACACAGATACATCAATGCACCTGCACTCACCTGTCCAGCACGAGTGTGGCCAGAGCAGCTAACATTCACATGAGGTTCCTCCACTTTGGGAGCGAGCTCTGGCGGGGAGATGGAGGTGGCGGACCTGGGAGTGGAAACGGACACTTTACAACTGTATAATGTACATGAAAGAGAGTGACTCCTTGGCTTGTACATGTGCAGTTTGGAGTGAAATTATGGTTAGATTATTATATTGATATCATGTGACATTTAATCTTAAACAATATGTGTCAAATCCTTCTTAAAGCTTACTCCATGTAAGAGAGATTTTAATGGAAACCAATTAAATTAACTTCTCATTCAAGTTTATTTTCTGTTTGATTCTATACTGATCTAAGAGACCAGAGCGTCTGAATTTAAATCACCAAATAATTCTCGATGAAAATTTTTTTTTTTAATTCTAATGATGCACAAGCTGATGCCGATGTCTTGTGTAAAGTTTCATAGTGCTCTTTTGCACCATGAACATGTATTTGAGGTGTAAAGAGGTAGAGGTCTCTAACTGGCACTAATTAAGACTCCTGTAGTTATGGTGACACTGAATATCAGTTAACACCTGCTGGTGACTTAATGGACTTGTAGCAATATAGAAAATAAACTTCAGATGTCTCCCATTCGTGTGTGTGTGTGTGTGTGTGTGTGTGTGTGTGTGTGTGTGTGTGTGTGTGTGTGTGTGTGTGTGTGTGTGTGTGTGTGTGTGTGACCTATACTCTTGACATGCTGCTGAAGACATTTCAAGCTGAGAGCACATTTTGTTCAGTCCTCATTGCATGCAGGGTTTATTTTTGTTTTGCTGGTGCTGCTTTTGACACTGTAGATCACAGCATCCTTATTGAAAAACCCCTATGAGGGATAAGGGATTGTTTTTTGCCCCTGTCTGAGAGATATGAGTTTTTCTGTGTTGATCCCCACATGTCTGAAACTGCTGCTCTGTCCTACATATGTGTGTGTGTGTGTGTGTGTGTGTGTGTGTGTGTGTGTGTGTGTGTGTGTGTGTGTGTGTGTGTCTCTGTGTCTCTGTCTGTCTGTGTGTGTGTGTGTGTGTGTGTGTGTGTGTGTGGAAGCTCACAGTGCAGGGAGGTGGTGACAGAAGAGGAATCTGTCCCAAAGGTCGTTGTGCATCATTGATGGGGCTGGAAGCTTCCTCAGGGCAGTAACAATATAGGACCACCACTGAGCACTCAGCTCTCACTGACCCATCTACCTGCAAACAACAGCTCTGTCCACTGCAAACTGAACCTCTCTACAGAGTGTGTGTGTGCATGTCTGTCCGTGTGTTTTTGTCCTCTGTGTGTGTGTGTGTGTGTGTGTGTGTGTGTGTGTGTGTGTGTGTGTGTGTGTGTGTGTGTGTGTGTGTGTGGAGTACTTGTCTGTGGCCTCTACAGGGGGTTTTGGATTCAGTTCTTCAAACAGGCTGACAGCTTTCATCTTGGCAGGCTGCAGTGTCTGATGGGATTTAGATTCTCTCTGTTGGGGAACTTCTGTGGAGACACACAACACTCTGGCTGGGTTCACTGTTCCTAGATGTAACTGCACTCATCTCACTCTTCATTTGAAAGCTCCAAATCTATCAATAATGATTCTGTTATTCTGAACTCTATTCTTCTTTTGCTGTATCTCATCTTATGTTACAACCTGTTCTGTTTTTGAATTAAGATTTTATTTATTTATTTATTTATTTATTTTGTTTTTGTTTTGTTGAGTTTTTTACTTTTCAATAACCACTCCCAGATGGTAAAATGCCTGGACTAATTAATCACTTATCTAGTCTTTGATTTTTAGCAAAGAGCTCTCTGTTCTTAAACATTGCCAATAGTACATCGAATTGAAAGTAAAAGCTTGAGTCATTTTGTTTAGCATGAGAACGAGTGCTCCAACTCATCCTGCTGGTGCAACCAGTTCATCCTGGAGTGCAACGACACAGCTTAAAATAATAGTTTACGTTTGAATGAGATTTCTTGTTAAGTAAGTTTAGCATAAAGCCTGGAAACAGGGAAAACAGCTAGCCTGTGAGTGAGTCAATGAGTTTAGAAGTGCCAGTAGATTTTGCACCCTTTGGACAGAGCTAGACAAGCTGTCCCCCCCCCCCCTTCTCAGCGTATGTTAAGTTGATCAGCTGTTGACTGCAGCTTCATATTTACAGAGTCACCTGACCTTTCAGCAAGAAACCAAATGAGCCTTATTTCCCAAAGTGACTATGATTACTACTCCTCCAAAGATCTAAAGCAGTTCACACACATTGTCTATATGATAAATAAGAATAACGTCATTTCCACCACATCATATTTATTTCAGCCTTTATAGCCACTGCAGCTCCAGCTCAGCCTCACAGTGTGGAAACAAATGTCGGTTTTCTTTACAGAAAGTTGATGAGAGATTTGAAAGGATTTGGATTTGGTTCAGTTCTTAATTTAGATTCATTAAAGTGCTATCAAACCCCAACTCTAATTGTGCAAAAGGCTCTTTTACCTCCTGCATTCCTCTGGTCTGGAGCTGGTGACAAGCACCATCCATCTCTGTCACCGGCTTTGTCGTCTGGTTGAGGAGAGCAGACAGTTGGCAGGGTGGTGGGCTTGGCAGTCTGTGGTCGCTGAAGCCTGGACGGTCCAACAGACAGTAAAGAGACACTGCTGCCAGGTCTCTGGAGAGGCAAATGTACCAATGACCTATATGAATACAAACAATATTGTACATTCATTATATGTACTGCAACATGCAAATACACATGCACTTACTTACATTCTTAAAGGCTAACAGCAGCCTACCAGTTCCATCCATGGCATTAATAAAATCGCTGTTGAATTTCATCCGGACCTTTTGAAGCACATCAAACAAGATTAGACTTCATTAAAAACCAGCTGTCACAGTCCACAATATGAATCACAGCATAAGGAATACAGTACGAACGGCCGTGCCACCTTGTTGTTCTTAAAGGACAGAACTCCAATTCCCTGGAAGGTGACAAACACGTTTTGCTCCGAGGCCAAAGCTCTGAAGAGGAGCAGAAGAGTTTCTCTAATGCAGCCCTCCACTACGTCTCGACTGAAAGGACCCTCTTGTGACACAGCTGCAAAGTTTAGCTGCACCACTGGAAAGTGTGTTACTGTAAGGACACACACACACACACACACACACACACAAATCCTTAGATAGATTTTGTCTGATCCACCCTCATAGCTTATATTTTTTATCAGTGCAGTTATGATTCTCCAGCATTTCATCCTTTCCCCTGTTTTTACTGAATTTTCCTGATCTGTTTATCTTTTATCTGCATAAGTAAGTTTGTTTTCCACTGCAACAGTTCACTATGTAAAAATTTAACAATACATTCACATTGTTTTTGTTTGAAAATGTGTTCACCTGCAGCCAGTGGCCTGGTCTGCTTTAAACCCAGAGACTGAACCAGTTTCCCAGCCAGGAGGAAGATGGGTCGTTGGATCACTGTGAACTTGTTTCCTAGGTCCAGCTTTTGCTGAGAGAAGGTGAAAGTCCCCAGTCCTGCCAGGCGGACCCCCTATTACAAAAGATTAATCAATTAGATAGATAGATAGATAGATAGATAGATAGATAGATAGATAGATAGATAGTAACCTTCTGTAAGGTCATCTGTCGTTCAGTGTAGGCGGATACGTCAGCCCAAATACAGTCAATATCTGAAAAACAGTAAACTCTGTTAATGACGTGCACTTTATCAGCAGTGTACAATAAACTACCAGCAGCTGAATAAACAGTCAATCTCTCTGTCACATGAACACTTTTGTCCGACCGTTTTCGGAGAGCTGCGAAATTGTCGGTAAAGTCCGCCTGTCCGGAGCTTCCGACACCAGCTGCAGTACATCAGTCATATCTGTTTATTAAGAAAACTCCTCGCAGGGTGAAAAAAATACGTTTTTGCAAATCGCCTCCACTTCCCGCTCGGCTGGAAATACCATATGAGGACAAACACTTGAGAGCCTGGTTGCCTCAGTAATGCGTTCCCGTAGCCGGGTTTCCAGAGCGCGTCATTTCTGTCACCCTGTCACTGTGGATGACAACAATCTACAACACTCGAGAGTTCGAGTTTCATCCGGATATTGTCATCATTATAATGGAGAACGACTGAAAGCTACGCATGGTCAACTATTTAACTGATTGAAATAAGTAAAAAAAAAAAAAAAAGAAAAGTAAAACATTTTAATAGGCTAATAAACAATTATTAAAAACATGAATAGCCATAATGGTATCACTTTCTGATAAGGCACCATTTATACATACCATTTTTTAAAGCTATAAATTAATTAATTTACTTCTTTATTAAATAATCGATGCTTTGTAGCTTCGTTAAACATCATTAATCAGAACAACTTTAGGATTGCAACTGTTGAGACATATAGATAAATCATAACCTATACGGCAGCCTGGGTGTCGATTATGTCACACGTAATACGCATCATGCTTGATCAACACAGATTATCTTTGCTAGTGGAAATATAGGTTATTGAACTGAAGTTGGGGCTGAGGTCAAGAGGATTTCGCAAGGGGCTTTTCTCGGTGTTTATGTTCCTTTATGACGTTTCACTTTCATTTTTCGACCAAAAAGTCAGTATTAACTCCGTGTCATTTCTTTAGGGGAGGCTACTGTCTCTAAGGAGCCTCTCACTGAGGACATCATTTTGTCGATCCTTGATGTGAGGTGTTAAATCATAAGGATGATGAAGATGCTTCTGGCCCTTTTCCTCCTTAAATCACTGACGGGTAAGTAACGACCACTTCCTTACAGTGTGTCATAAATGGCAATTAGACAGGTGGAATGATGTGTAAATCTATAGTTGTACCAGGTGAATCTATTTGGTGTAAAACTTTTAAAGCTGAACGTGTGGATAATCGCCTAACCTGTAGATTCATTAGGTATTATTACATTTATAGTCCTACATGAATACACTAATAATAAATCTTCAGTGGTTGAAAGTGACTATCATTTTATGATACTTTAATTTCATATTCACTTCATTTCAGAGGAAAATTTTACGTAGCAGAACTTTGTTTTCTCTTCTGTCATCTCACAGTCGCTCACTTTTATCCTGAACCATAGCCTACATTAGGTTGGGAACCATTAGCTTATGTTATAAATTAAATCAAACTAACTCCACCTCAAGCAACTACACAGCAGTAAATTGCTGCTTACATTGTTGTACTTGGGTATCTGCAGGTGTTGAAAAGTCTTGAATGGCAATGAATTCAGTCCGTTCAAAAAAAATTGTCCTGAAGATAGTAAAAAGTCATTTAGAAAGTTGTTGAATATTTTTCTTTGGCAGAAAAATTAAATTTTTTAAATTGAATCAAATGAATTGAATTAAATCATGTTGCTTATCTGGGCCGATGTCATGTTAACTGATTATATGTTACTAGGAATTAGTGTTAAATACAGAAAAAATTTGATATAAATCTTAATAAATTAATGTACTTTATAAACAATTGTTTGCCTTATTGTCCCCATTCTTTTGATTGTGAGAAATGTGTTGCATTGCAGTCTACCTGACCCTTAAAAAAGTCCTAAAAAGTCTAAAATTTAGTTGTGTATTGATTACTTCCTCCACCTCTGTAAGTGGGTTATGAGATTGTCATCAAACTTTTATTATATAACAGTATTAAGAAAAAAACAACAACATGTGTAGCTGCAATAATAATGTGCAGATTCACACTAACAATATAAAAAAATCAGATTGTGAAATATCACCATGGTTATGAACAATGTCAAAGAATGTGAACAAAAAACATACATGTGGTGAGTCAGTTCCAAAAAAGATGACCAAAGAAAATCACAAGACCAATAGCCTCAGAGAAATTGGGACAAGGTCAGTATTCTCATTTCCTACTAGTTATATCCCCTATGCGCACCATATAGTTTCACAAAGGGTAACCTACACTATCTACAGTATATACTATGATAGGCTACTCTGTTACCACTGTCTGTGTGGTCTGTGTGTGAAAATCACTTAATTACACATCACTGTATTATACATCGCATTTTTTAAACCCATACAAAAACCAAAGTGTACAAATAATAATTTGCGGTTTTATAGGTGGTTATGTGTGGGACTATTTCTTCACAGTGACTTCTTTTACAGTTTGTTTCTGTTGGTAGCCTGGCAACGGTGAGAACAATATCTCAGTCAGTTACTGCGTGCGGCCAAGACATAGTCTCGCACATAACCTTGTTTTGCGTGTTTCTCGTCTTGGTGCTGAACTAAGCCAATGGCAGCTGGCTTCATATTTACCATAGACACATGAGAGTTGTCAATCTTGATATCTAATTCCCAGCAGGTAATTGTCACAAAGATATAACTATTCAGAATTGAAGTAAGAACTGATTAGCTGACAACAGTAAATTGTCCAGTAAAAGATGTTTTGATTATAAGACTAACCAGCAACATTTCAACAACTTTGTGAGCATACAATAATGATATTTTTGACATTTCATTCTCTGTGTCCACAAACATCTTCATGTTGTAGTTTGACTAAGTAAAATGAACTAAAATTTGTGAAATTCTTGCAGGTGTGTGTCCCCTAACTTCCAAAGAGATACATACAAAGGCAGGTGAGCTTGTGGTGCTTCAGTGCCCTCCTGACAGAGGGTATAACCATGTTGATACCAAACTTGTCTGGACAAGTCACACAACCCAGAAGATATATGTGACCAACAACATGTCAGCAGTTGAGCTGACTGAGATGGGTGTGCTGATTCATGGAAGGAGCTTTGTCATCCTCAGTTCGTCTGTGAACCATCAAGGAAATTACTCATGCTCTTTGAGGTACGTTGTGTTGTATTCTTGGAGTGATCTTGATCTTTCTGATAACAGATCAATCAATATTTCGCATGAATTGTTCAGGCATGAATCAGACTACTATATATAGAATATATAAATATTTATGTTTTATGTATTTGCTACACCGAATCACATTGCACTGAACTTGTTGCTACCTATTTAGATAAGGTACATGTATTGCGCAATATGTGAGGCTGTACTCATAAGAACAGTAATACTTGAGCTAAATGCTAACATCAGCATGCTAACATTCTCACAACAACAATGGTGACAATATGTAATGTGCTAATATTTAGCGGATGGTCTATAATATTTACAATGTTCATCACCTCAATGTAGAGTGTTAGCATGCTAACATTTGCTAATTAGTGCTACACACAAAGCACAGTTGAGGCTGGTGGGAATGTCTTTAGTTTTGCAGGTATTTGGTCATAAACCAAAACATTTGTGGTGTAATAAGAAACTTAAAATCGGCCTGAGGAAACTTTTCTTGGCAAGACAAAGGGGGGGTTTGGCTGTGCCAGACATTTACCAATATTATCTATCTTACAATGCTAGATATCCTATTGCATGGGCTTATGATAACCCTAATTCAATAGGAAGTTGGGATTGGCTGGAGAGGCAGATCATCACTGGTCTTGACAATAAGATTTCTTTGGCTTCTTTATGGTTTTATCCAAATCCTTCTGCAAAACTTGACAACCCAATTATGATTTTTTCTTGTAATATTGCTGAAGAAATTCATAAAAGGTTAAAAATCACAGGAACCTCTCTCCCTTCTTGCCCTTTATGGCACAATCCTTTATTTTCAGCAGGAGGTAAACCATTAGTTAACACCATGTGGCATAGTTCTAACATCAAGTATTTGGGAGATATAATAAGTGGTAGGAAAATTGTTCCATTTTGTAATCTTAAGGAACAATATTTCCTAGATGATACCTCTTATTTACACTATCAACAATTGTACTCTAAATGTAAAATGCATAAAGGGGCACCAATGGCGACAGAGAGGGACATTGTTGTCAGGAAAAGTCAGGTCTCTAGCATATATACACTCTCACCAGCACAACTTTGCTGGGAGAAAGACATAGGGACCCCTCTTGCAACAGCCAGCTGGCAGAGAATATGGAATACTTAGATAGATAGATTTGTAACACTGGGTTGTCTCGCTGCTTAATGAAAAATTATTATAAACTGGAAGATAAGAACTCCAAATTGTTTCAGTTTAAGCAGTTGGCTGCAAGAATTTATTGATTTAACTGGGATGGAAAGAGCAGCTGCTACACTGAGGGCCCTTGATCTGGACCTGGTGGGTTTGTGGGACACAATCAGGTTATATTTGAACTCTATACCAGACTATGTGTAAATGGTATTGTTTCCTCTTGATCTTTTGTTGGAGAGAGACTGAAGGACAAAAAAAAAAAAAGACATATGTATTGATGTAGGCACTTGTTGTATTTATTGATGCCAACCCCTCCTCCCTTAGGTTTGTTTGTTGTTTGGTTTGTTTTCCTTTTTTGGAGTATGTGCATGTGTTTGTTTAGTATTGTATGTTATAACAATAAACTTAAAAAAAAAAAAAAAAAAAACAACAAAAAAAACAAAAACAAAACATGGACAAATTAAATGTTTGACCTGACGATGGTCTGCACAAAATTTAACAGCAATCCATCATATTACTCTGGAGCAAAGTGGGTGACTGAACCTTCATTGCTATCTGCGTGCTCATACCGCTAGTGTGGTTAAAAGGGCTCTTTTAGGCTCGAGAGATAATGCTCTGGACTGAGCATTATCTCTCGACAAAGATTGGTTTGGTGTAATTAGGAAATTTGGTTCTTTGAAGTACCAGTCCTTGTCAGCCATCAATCAAATGCCATACCTGTGTTGTGGTGACGGAAAGTGTCTGTCATCTAGTGACACCAAAACAAAAATGTCTGGATGTAGAAATGGCAAAGTGGCTGAGAAGACAAGTAGTATTTTGGAAAGTGATCCCCAAAGCCTTCACTACTTTCATATTCAAAGCCTTTGCAAAATGTGTAAAGTTTAATTGTGAAATCTTCATATTATACCTTTTCTTTTATGACATGACAGAAATGCCAGCAGCCAGTTCTGGTTCACACTGACCACAGTAAAGTCCAAAGAGTATGAAGAGATGACCACATACTCTAAGTCATGTTACACTCAAGAGTCTTGCAAGTTGAATTGCCCTGATGTGAAGATCCCTCCAAATATTACCAGAAATGGCTTCACATGGCACAAGGTAATTTTACACAGCAGATTTTTGAGTGTGAATGAGATTTGATTGTGAATTTGGAAGCTTCACCCTGCATCATTCATGATTTGTTTTTACAAATTTGCAATGGTGTAATGTTTTTCCTAGACCAAAACTGTTGTTCACTGCCTTCATGTCTAAAAATTTAACTTAATTTTCCATCTTGTAGGAGGGTGAAGCAAAAGACGGTTACTTCCAAACTGTTGAAGAGAAAGACAAGGGTGTCTACACCTGTACTAGATCTTACCTGTATCTTGGTCAAATCTATAATAAGACCTTTAGAGTGGAACTTCAACTCAAACCAAAGAGTAAGAAAAACACTTTGTCGATCGTCATTAAAGTTCATGTGTTTAAGAAAAAGGTGTAAAGAGTTTTCTCCCCTTTTTTTGCACAGAATTTGACAAAGCCGCAGTCATCATTTTACCAAAAAACAACAAAGTGGTTCCCATAGATTTGGGTGAGCATGGTTACACATGAATACACATACAAACATATAATACCTCCCTAAATGACCTCTTTTAAATATTGTGTTAACTGCTTCTTCTAGGCTCAAAGGTGGAGATTGAATGTAAAGCTGTTACATATTCAGACTTTGACGGCGTGTTCTGGATTAGTGGGGGATCAGTAATGTTCAAAAATCCCAGTTTACCAGTTTACTACAAAACCACACGGTAAACACACTCAATACACACACAAAATAGATTGTCTTTTTTAAATCTTCGTTCATTAAGTTCTTTCCTTCCTTTTGCAGGGAAAAAAATGCAGAAAAAATAAAGCTGACAGCATCTCTGGTCTTCAAAAAAGTGTCAGAGGAGGATCTATCAAAAAATTATACCTGTAAACTGGAATCTGTCTCCAACAACCTCCCAAGCTTCGTTACTATCACTTTGGTCCAGAAAAGTATGTCAGATAGATAGATAAATAGCTTTGGCTTTACTGTTGTATTTACAATTGTGTTTGTTTCCATCAGTGTTGTGTTTAATAAACTACTGTTAAAATTACATCACATTCCAGCAACATTAAAGTTTGAAGTGACATCTTCCAGGCTATAGTTTATTTCATGTTTATATATATATATTATATATATCTCTTTCCATTATTACCCTACAGCTCGCCCTTCTTACATTTTCCTGTGTCCCAGCATTGTGGCCATTGTGGTGGTAATGGTTGTGACAGTAATTATCTATGTGAAGTTGAAAATTGACATCACTCTTTTCTTAAGAGACACTCTTGGCTGCTATGGACGCACCTCAGGTGGGAGTCATATTTTTCGCCATTTGTTTCATTTTAACTTACAGTTACATATTTGTGCTTTTTTGGGACGCTGCAGACAGTTTGACAGCAATGACAGACATGTTGGACAATTTTTTGTCATTTGATTAGATGGAAAAATCTACGATGCCTTTGTGATGTGTTATAAGAGCGACACAGATGCAGGAGTAAATGCTGATGACAGAAAATGGCTGGAGAGTGTTTTGGAAGAGAAGTTTGGCTACAGTCTCTGTCTTTATGATCGTGACGTTTTACCAGGGAAAGGTACGTATTTAAGATGCACTTAAATCGACCTAAAAATATTAACGAGGTAATGATTAATTTGAACTCTGTTGGGTCGCAGCTACAGCGGCAGCAGTGTTAGACTGCATAGAGCAGAGCCGGACGGTGGTTTTGGTCCCCACCTCTCCAGATCCTGGTCCAGGGTGTGACCAGCTGAGAGCCATCCATGCAGCTCTTGTGGAGAGGCAGACTCGCTTAATTTTCATAAAAACTGAGACAACACAAGATTCAACATCAGGTTCCTTAGCTGAGGCCTTACAATTTTTTAGCAAGGCTGGAGTCTGCATCACCTGGAAGGGCTTAAGCTCCAGGTCTTCCTCTTCCTCCTTCTGGAAACAGCTGCGCTATTACCTACCTGCCATGAAGCATACACCGAAAATAAGGCCTTCACCACAGACAGCTGCCCAGGATAACTGTTATGCTTAGCAAAGAAAGTCTGAATGAATAGATCATATCAATGCCTTTACTCTATGACATAAGTATATATTCAGGTAAAGTTACTAACTATTTACAATGGGGTTCAATGGGGAATCGGGAATAAGAAAGAGTCTGATGTGTTATTGTCATTATATAGCTATGTTTTAAATGGGTATAGCCTACTTTTTATTTACCTATATTACCAGGATGATATACTGTTAAATGCACTTTTGAAAATTATGTTGTACCAGTTCTGTATTATTTTAAACATCAACATTAACATTAACATTAATTCATATTTTTATTTTATTATTTTATTATTTTATTGTTTATTCTAAATTAGTACGTGTAAAAGTATTTGTACGTGTGAAAGGGTTAGCTCATTTAGCCTTTTATAGTATATTTTTTTTACTTTACATTTTGCAAATTTAATGTATATGGTTCACAGACACATGTTCTCTTCAACTCCCCGAGGGCAGGCAAGGCATTTCCAGCAAATAAGCTCTGATAAATCTCTGATAAATCCACCAAACACTGCATACTCATCACCAAATAGCAACAGTGACGGTTGAAGAAAGCATAACATTTGTCAACCAAGGACCCAAACATTTTCCCTAAGACTTGGTGAAAACCACAAATAAATCAAAAGACCAGTGAATATTAGACTTCTATTCATAACGTGACAGGAAACACATTGTTGCTCCATGTTTCCTGTTATGATAGGCCAGTGTTTACTCATTAAATGTAATTGAACATGATGATGAGCTTATGTAATGTTTTTCCGCCACCTACTGGAAGAAAAAGCAATAAATGCAGTTTCAGAAGCTTGAAACAGTCCAAACTGTTGTCAAGGAGGGTTAGTGACAGTTAAACATATTCGAGCCCCCTCCTCACTTGATTTAGTTAGGTAAGCTTATGTCCAGACCCCCACTATACATCACAGTTTCATTATTTACCCAAACACCTGGAGACCAACCAACATTCCTCTGCTGAAATGATTAGTTGATTAACGGATTTACTCATGTGGCACCCTGCCACCCTTCTATATATCTAACATTCTGCAAACTGACTTTAAACCAGGCTGACGGGGCCTTTGGGCTTGTTTTGATATTAGGGTAACTACCACAAAGGTTTACCTGTCCTGATGTGAGATTTACATCACTATTTATAGCCAGAGATATGTCACCACTTAACTATAGTTTAATTGACTGACCCCAGAACAACACTGTAGATGATCATTTACTGAATATCTTGACAATACAAGGATATGACAAATGTAATGAAACATAAACACAATCTCAAAAATTAGACCCCCTTCTTAAAAAAAGCAAATAATATGAAACCAAAATTGCCCTCCCACACATTATTTAGCAAATTACCCACATACACAACTTAAGCTTTTCCCAAAAATACTGAACAAAATTTTCAAAAACTAAATCTTCTAATCTTAAATCTTATTAATGTGACACAAGCAATATTTAAAACACTTCTACCACTAACCCCCAATAGCAGACTTATACTACTTAACTTCGGTAATGGACAAGCTAGCCTCCATGTGAATATAGTCTTGTGATACTAATGGAAATAATGTCAGATCTCTATGACTAGCCAATAGTGTTCATTAACTGGCTCAGTTGTAATGGTAGAGTGTGGAGATCAAGGTATATTTATAGCAAATGAGGGTCCAGTATGTTTTAACCATTTGTTTTTTCAGTACAATTGACACAGAAAACAGAAACAGGTCGATTTTTCTGTTCTTACTGACAAAAAAATGTAACAATGGAAGATTATAATTGAATGATAATTTGTTATGCTCTTACTGAGAGTGCAGACACAGAATCATTGCTAAGGACTTACAACTCAACTGTAAGAAATCCCTACACTGACCAATCAAACAAAAACAAAAACAAAAAATAATAAAAAATAATTTCATATTTTGTGTGTTTACTTTAACAACACAGCACTAATCACCTTGAATAATTTCCCTTCTTATAACTACTTGAGTTACTCTTTCATTTTGACAACGTATAAAACCATTTACACTCTACTTAGTTTATAACCGAGATATCTTAAGCTCTCAGATAACCAATTGATATAGAAATGATATGGAGTGAACCCTGGATGTCTGGGGCACATGGGCAATTACCTGCTTTACCTGGTTGGTAATCCAGCATTGTAAACCGAATGTAGCAGATCACTCCAGAATTGTGAAGGTAAAATGTGTTGTTCTGCTATAGTAAGTAACAACCAGGAAAAGAAGCTGCGAATGGGCCCACTTGTGCTAACCTACACATTAGCCCATTCACAAAGCCTTGCTTTCAGGCTATGCTTCAAATATGTGATCCTTAAGATTTCAGTCCTTTTTGGCAACACCTGTCACTGCTTTGTCATAAATACAACAGAATGTCAACTGGTGCATCTGTTATCAGCACAGACTAAACACTTACATTGTTAAATACATGAAATAGTCAATCAGTAATAACTTGAACTGTAGTTGTCCACACAACAGTAGAGCACAGTGAAAAGAGCCTGTTAATTTAGTTTGACGTGTACGGCCTGTCTCCTGTAGCTCAGTGTGGCTGCACCCTTGTTTGATGAATTAAAATTAAACATGATCTGCTGACAGAAAATTCAGAAAAAGAGTTATCTTAGATGAACAATTGCAGCCAGAACTAACTTTTTCACAATTCAATCTTCCCCCCAGATCTGCCAGTTGAACACTTTTAACATGACACAGCAGCAGTAGGAAATGTTTGGTTTACAATACTAGTGATATCTCTCTGTATTGCATTACAAAGAGACGAGTTTCTGTTATATATCCTATACCTCAAAGATATAGCCTAAATGTTGTGGACAAAATAATAGAAACGCCTGTTTATATCACACAATATAATTCAACAGCACCACAAGTTGCAGCCTCGAAAATGACCATAAAGTTGAATCAACACCTCTCTGAAACAGTTTCAATAAAAACTGAACATTGTCATAAAGATAGGTTTAATTGCAGGACTTATTAGACTGCAGTAGTTTTAGCTAGATGCACCTAATAAACTGATAACTCTTCATTTAATGGCTATTGCTGAAAAATGCCGAGCATAAATAGTATCAGGTTTGATTTCATGATAATCTAAAGGATATCAATTTTTTTTTTTTAAATTACATTTACACATCAACATTTTCATTTAATTTTTTATGAACTACTATTTGTAATCAGTGCACACGGAAAGTATAAGTCGTAATCTGAGAATGTGAACCATCTTGCTTTACTTTGATAGAAATTCCACCGTTTCTGCACACACGTCATGCTATGATGAAGAGAACCGCTCAGTCTGAAAACAGTTGCAAAATGTGTGCTGTAAGTCTGGAGCCTGTGCGAACTACACAAGGGGTTCGTAGGAGCTCCCTTTTTTTCTGAAGGGGGGGGGGGGACTACAGTCTGTTAGGCTATTACTTCTATTTTATGATTATTTATACTCCACTACATTTCTGAGGGAAATATTGTTTATTTCACAGCCACAGTTACTTAGATAGTTAGATTTTAACTGTCACAAGGAATACATGAGTCAGTCTGTCATTGTTTCCTCCGGTTACCCACCAGCACAGGATGCTCAACGCCGTTTCCACGCCACAGAGCTCCTTCATGCCCCTGTCACTCGCACCAAACGACATTGTAGGTAGTTTCAAAGCAGTTCCAGTTATTGTTGTCGTTTTATGGAGGGGAAAACGTAATATCACGTATTTAAAAAAAAAAGCAGTTTTAATATTAATAATAATAATAATAATGATGATGATGATGATGCATCACCCTTAGCATGATAATCATAATCATATATAATCATATTATATTATTATAATAATAATTTGGTGACGGGGTGTTTACATTGCAGCGACAACGTCACGCTCTTCCGTGAATTTCACTTTTTTCATCACTCAGTCTGATTCACAACTTTGAAGGGAAATGCACAGCTGTAATTCAGCAGAGCTGCATCGGGGGTCTGATCGACCAGAGCACATTTTTGACGAAGCTGCTGAGTGTTTGGGGTCCAGTGCCGCGGGCTATCATGGTGGTGAAGGTCCTTCTGGTCCCTCTGCTTTTCCTCTTTACATCAAAACCAGGTAAGAGAATGCTCTCAGTGGTGTAGAGGGCGGCACTTCTCTGTTATATTTGATTGGATTGTGTCAAAAGAAAAGGAAGATTCACACAACGCACTTCTCCATAAAATACAAGGAAAGAAATAGAGGAAGTAAAAGAAAAAGAAGAACCAAAAAACGCTGATTTAATCCAAGGAGAGAGAAAAAAATATAATGAAGTACACCAACTAGAAACTAGCATCATGTAGGCAAGTGGTGGTGGAAGAAGTACACGCATATTTTACTTAAGTAAAATCATTACCACATTGTAGAAAGGTTCTGCACAAGTCAGACTAGTGCGGACTAGAGAGACCAATACATGATGAACTGATGAAGCCGCTTGGATAAGAGGCGAAACGTCTTCCACAGACAAATACAAGTCCAGTTGCCTTCGATTTAATTTGAGAGAGAGATTACTATGACCTGGACGAATGAGAACATTCACAGACACGTTCTGCAATATACAATAATAAAAGTTCTAGCATTTGAAAGTAAATACTTAAAGTACCAAAAGAAAAAATTCTACTTATTTTATCCAATAATAATACATCATAATCTATTCAGATTATATTTTGTATTATTAATCTGAATCTGCAAAGTAACTAGTTAGTAAACATATTAAATAAATATAAAGGATTACTTCAAAATTGTAGCAGAGTAGATTACTTGAGGAACTAGCAACTAACTACTTGGTCACTTTACATCACTGTCCATTAATGTAAAATTGCTGTTGTTTCTATGCTACATTGTGACATGCAGCTGTAACCTCACAACAGACACATGCTGCAAATATTATATACACTACACTAATATTACTAACATGTAAAATAAATATTATATACAGTATATACATACATTACATACATACACACACACACACACACACACACACACACACATATATATACTTTTATTCCCTTCACACGAAAATGATGAAAGACTGACAGGCACCAGGAAACTAGGATGTGGTTAAGAACCTCCACTATAATCTTACACCAGTCACACCTTTTCATGAGAATGACGAACTCACACTTTCTCTAGTGTAAGCTAAATTGCTGATCTGATTTAGGACACAGTTGCACACCTGAATCAGATACAAAACCATGCTGCAAGAACCTTAACCCGAACCAAGAGTGGAGACAAAAGGTCACTCAAGTTTTTAAATCCTTGCACCGGCTCCTTCTTCCAGTCATGTGCCTTTCAAGGGTTCTTATTCAAATATCTTGCACATGTCATTTTCAAAGTAACAAGGACTATTTAAAAATAATGTGAATAGTTGCATTCAAGATTTGTGATGGATTATATACATATAGAAATTATATTTGCTCTGAAATAAATTTACAAAGAAGCACGTTATTGCAATTCTGGAGGTGTTGAACGTGATATGATTATGGTTATTACAGAACAGCAATCCAGATAATCAATGTAATGTGTACTGTGGGATTGCAACAGCCTCATTATCTCAATAAATAACACAGGTGAAAACTGAGAAAGTGAAAACACAAAGATTCCCTCAAGGGAACATTTACTTAGGTTTTATTCATGTCATTAACTTTTCTGACTTCATAGGGGTCAAGGGTCAACACCCAGAATGTGAATAGTTCTCCAAAGCACCATATATGGGACACAACCAAACTTGGATGCTCACATGTTTTTTGGATCTCCATAAGAACATGCACAGAAGGGTCACAACCTGGAGTGTGACTAATTTTGCTCATAAGGACCAGGGCTATTGATAAATTGACTGACTCTGAGAAAAACCAAAAAAACCAATCAGTTTGTGTGCAAGCCTCACCTAAACAGTGGGCAGGATGCCAGCGTTCCACTCGTTCAGGCAGAAATGTGGCTACATTTCTACAGTACGTGATACAATACAGCAATGATATATGTGACATTACGCGCTAGCTGTCCACAGGCCAGTTCATGTTAAAGTTTTACACCCTGAAATTAACCAGAATTTTGTGAATACTCTTTCACAGGTGCGTGCCACCTGACACTCGAGGAACAATATGTCAGGCGTGGTGAGATGGTGTTGTTGCAGTGCCCTTCTACATGTTATCAAAAAGGTGATGCCAAGGTGATCTGGACCAGTTATACCGCCCAGAAGATGGATCTGACCAACATGTCATCAGCTGAGCAAAAGCAGATGGGTGTGCTGGTTCATCAGAATAGCCTTGTTATTCTCAGTGCATCTGTAGATCATCACGGGAATTACTCATGCTCTGTGGGGTAAAGTAGTGTCAGTCCTACAGTGGTCCTGACTTTGTTTTCCTCCAATCTTAATATCATATCATACAAAATTCATTTACACTGTGTAAGCTTTCATACTTCAGCCTGACACAGAATTTTGCATTAGAAAGCATAACATGAAGGTGTAAACTTAACCACAGCATCCTGTGTTCAACTCCAATCTGTTGCCATTTTTAATCTGTTAGATTAGATTAAATTAGACATCTGCTCTCCCTGCTATATTAAAATTTAAACGGCAGCATTATGTGTTTTCAGAAAGTAAAACCTTAATGTTGTGTTTCTTTTATGACATGAAAGAAATGCCAGCTGCCAGTTCAGGTTCATGCTGACAGCAAGCACATCAAAGTCCAAAGAGTATGAAGAGATGCACAATAAATCATGTGACACTCAAGAGTCCTGCATGTTGAATTGCCCTGATCCAACTATCCCTCCAAATATTACCAAAAATGGCTTCACATGGCACAAGGTAATTTTACACAGCAGATTTTTGAGTGTGAATGAGATTTGATTGTGAATTTGGAAGCTTCACCCTGCATCATTCATGATTTGTTTTTACAAATTTGCAATGGTGTAATGTTTTTCCTAGACCAAAACTGTTGTTCACTGCCTTCATGTCTAAAAATTTAACTTAATTTTCCATCTTGTAGGAGGGTGAAGCAAAAGACGGTTACTTCCAAACTGTTGAAGAGAAAGACAAGGGTGTCTACACCTGTACTAGATCTTACCTGTATCTTGGTCAAATCTATAATAAGACCTTTAGAGTGGAACTTCAACTCAAACCAAAGAGTAAGAAAAACACTTTGTCGATCGTCATTAAAGTTCATGTGTTTAAGAAAAAGGTGTAAAGAGTTTTCTCCCCTTTTTTTGCACAGAATTTGACAAAGCCGCAGTCATCATTTCACCAAAAGACAATGAAGTGGTTCCCGTAGATTTGGGTGAGCATGGTTACACATGGATACACATACAAACATATAATACCTCCCTAAATGACCTCTTTTAAATATTGTGTTAACTGCTTCTTCTAGGCTCAAAGGCGGAGATTGAATGTAAAGCTGTTACATATTCAGACTTTGACGGCGTGTTCTGGATTAGTGGGGGATCAGTAATGTTCAAAAATCCCAGTTTACCAGTTTACTACAAAACCACACGGTAAACACTGCACAGACCCCGACCAGCTACTACAACAAATTTGCGAATGTCATACACTCAATACACACACAAAATAGATTGTCTTTTTTAAATCTTCGTTCATTAAGTTCTTTCCTTCCTTTTGCAGGGAAAAAAATGCAGAAAAAATAAAGCTGACAGCATCTCTGGTCTTCAAAAAAGTGTCAGAGGAGGATCTATCAAAAAATTATACCTGTAAACTGGAATCTGTCTCCAACAACCTCCCAAGCTTCGTTACTATCACTTTGGTCCAGAAAAGTATGTCAGATAGATAGATAAATAGCTTTGGCTTTACTGTTGTATTTACAATTGTGTTTGTTTCCATCAGTGTTGTGTTTAATAAACTACTGTTAAACTTACATCACATTCCAGCAACATTAAAGTTTGAAGTGACATCTTCCAGGCTATAGTTTATTTCATGTTTATATATATATATTATATATATCTCTTTCCATTATTACCCTACAGCTCGCCCTTCTTACATTTTCCTGTGTCCCAGCATTGTGGCCATTGTGGTGGTAATGGTTGTGACAGTAATTATCTATGTGAAGTTGAAAATTGACATCACTCTTTTCTTAAGAGACACTCTTGGTTGCTATGGACGCACCTCAGGTAGGAGTCATATTTTTGGCAATTTGTTTCATTTTAACTTACAACTTATTTTTAAGAGTTACATATTTGTGCTTTTTTGGGACGCTGCAGACAGTTTGACAGCAATGACAGACATGTTGGACAATTTTTTGTCATTTGATTAGATGGAAAAATCTACGATGCCTTTGTGATGTGTTATAAGAGCGACACAGATGCAGGAGTAAATGCTGATGACAGAAAATGGCTGGAGAGTGTTTTGGAAGAGAAGTTTGGCTACAGTCTCTGTCTTTATGATCGTGACGTTTTACCAGGGAAAGGTACGTATTTAAGATGCACTTTGAAGAAAATTGACCTAATATATATATATATATATATTAACGAGGTAATGATTAATTTGAACTCTGTTGGGTTGCAGCTACAGCGGAAGCAGTGTTAGACTGCATAGAGCAGAGTCGGACGGTGGTTTTGGTCCCCACCTCTCCAGATCCTGATCTAGGGTCTGGCCTGCTGAGTGCCATCCATGCAGCTCTTGTGGAGAGGCAGACTCGCTTAATTTTCATAAAAACTGAGACAACACAAGATTCAACATCAGGTTCCTTAGCTGAGGCCTTACAATTTTTTAGTGAAGCTGGTGTCTGTGTCACCTGGAAGGGCTTAAGCTCCATGCCATCCGCCTCCTCCTTCTGGAAACAGCTGCGCTATTACCTACCTGCCATGCCAAAACCTTCACCACAGACAAACCAGGATGTTGCCTCATGGCAAAAGGTTTAGCCAAGTTATAATTAATAGCTTTTATCATATCCATCTTCACCACCTGTTTATATTCTGTACCTATAAAAAAGAATGTATATTGAAAGTAATTCATTTTGAACATTTACCTTGTCATAATTTTGCTATATAACATGTTGTATTTTTGAATTTGTCAGGTAGAAAACTCCTTATTAAGACAGAACACTGACACAAGCAACTTTTCCTGTCAGCTGCCAAGACCTGTAATTTATGCATGAAAATAATGTGAAAATATAAAATGGCTTCTTTTCATAACATGAGTCTTTACACTTTTCATATTGATATATCCTGAATTGTCCAACTTGTGTGTATTCTCATTGCAGTTGAGGTGCATTTGAGTAGTTGTTGAAGACCATTACAAAGCAAAATATCAATGAATATCCAGTGGCCAGAAATGTGAATCCAAATGATTGTTTTTTATTGCTTTGTACCTAATGTGTAAGTAGACAATTGATTGCTAACTAATTAGCCTTAACAACTAAAAGGAAAGGTATTTGTTTTCTCTCCAAGACTGACATGAGATCAATACCATTCTCGTGTGTGAATTCAATATGGAGGTGGGACCAGGACATGGTTAGCCTAACTAACATAAGGGGTGAACAGGGGTGGACACCTTGCTGGCTCTGTCAAAAACACACTTATCATTACCTCTGAATCTCAATAATATTTAACATTGTATCTAAGTTTGTTCAATCCATGCACAAACAAAAAACAAAGTGAAGCAATTTGCATGTATTGCATCTAAATGAGAGCTTTCCTAAGTTTCTCAGTTGGCTATGACAGCTGGACTGATTTATAAGTAGGACGGGAAAATCCAAAGGATGTGACATGTGTGCAAAACTAGCTGGGAGTGTGTCTATGTTCCCACAGCCCTATGTTAAGAAATATGGGACCATAGGGTTTCCTTTTGAGAAAAATCTTAGGCCTTGTCCACATTAACCCGGATAAATATAAAAATGCACATTCACAATGAAAACGATCTCCATCCACACTAATCGTTTTCAGAACGCTTTGCATCCACGTTCCACGGCGTCTTCACATTTATCCACCTCAGCGATCATTACTGTAAAGCATCGTTTTCAGTTTTGGAATTTACCGTTCTAATGTGGACGGAAGGGCTAACCGGATAAATATTACCCGGGTTAGTGTGGACATGGGCTTATGGGAACATATAAGACTGTGGGAAAATAGGGCCTAATTTTCAAAACATTCTTAGAAATGTGGGAACATAGGGCTGACCCCAACTAGCTAATGTTAATGTAGAAATGAGTCCACTAACATCAACAAATATCCGGCTCCCAGCACATAACAATACATATGTTATATAGCACCTGTTAATACGTCAATTTTATGTGCACTATCTCCGGTCTAACATTACTCATGCCACTCCTATCATCTGTCTGTAACTGGCGTTAGACTAACCCACAGACCCATTCACTACTGTAACATTTCTTAATATAAAAGGTTTATTCTATTACCCATTAGCGCATCAATTGAGCGAAATGAGAGTTGTGAAACTGTCGTATCAATAATGAAGTGTGGCAAAAGATCTTCATGTGCTGACCTGTTCACTGACTGTAGCATCCAGAAAATTTGGCTGTGCTGATGTTGCTGAGCCTCTCCGTGAAAGACAGACAAATGGCAGTTAGCTGGCTAGCAATGCTGACGTATCATATAATGCAATCAATGTGTCACGAGACTGGATTATTTCAACGAGCTAGCCTATATGGTGCTAGCTAGCAAGCTGATAATAATATTACATTTTTATAAATCCTTTTTTTTTTTTTTTTTTTTTTTTTAAACATAACGATTGTCAAACTATAGTCTCACATAGCCAGACTTATCTCCACACTTTGTTTTGGTGTTGTTCCAGCGCTGTACAGTCAAATATAGTGTCTAGTCTCAAATATAGTTTGAGTGTAAGTTATGGAGTGAGAGCGCGCGTGCAAGCTACAGGATGCTGGCTGCAGTTCGGCCACTGGTGTCATCAATGACAAGGGTTTTTTGAAAGATCAACATAGAACCTAACTAAAACTAACCAGTCTTGTCATCAGTGACATTGCCTGGGTCGGTACCATATTGCACCTGTACAGAGACCATAAATGTGCCCACCAACTATATCTGAAAATACTAATCAGAGATGCTGCCCATAATTACAGTGAAAAAGGTAAAATGATTTTTACATTTCTGCTCATCCCACAGATTAAATGAACGAGTGCTGGTGTTTTCTTTGGGCAGTCAGGTGAGTTGTGTCTAGGGTTGCCACCTTTTATGTGAAGAGATAAGAGATATTATTGACATTACATCATTCACAGCACTTTGAGGACATGATGTGTATAAAAATACGGGACATATTGCGTCCTGTATTGATTCAATGCAGGATGCAGCATTTTATTTTCAAATACACAATATACGAGATGGGTGGCAACCCTAGTTGTGTCCCCCTGCTCCTTCCAGAAAAAGTAGAGCTATTCCTTTAACAAGCTAATGTCCCTTTAGTTAAGCTTTCGTACTATCTTGCACATATAGTTTACCATGATTACGTTGCTTTAGCACTCGAAAATTTTTTGTAATTTTTGAAACAGTGAGTCATTGATGTCAGACAGGGGTAGACAAAGGAGCTTTCTCCTTTCTAGCCAGCAGGCATAGTTGTCACTGATAGATTTTATCACCTGTGGCTAACCAGCAACGCTGTCATTGGTTCAATGAGTTGATTAAAAATGCAGCGCAAATCCTGTAAATGGGGACAGCATGTGTTGAAATTCAAAGCTTGACAGGTCTTAGTTATAGTTGCTCAGCCATGACGGGACGTTGGCTGTTTGTAAAAGTTGTGTTGCATGTTCAGGGCGGCACGGTGGTACAGTGGTTAGTGCTGGTGCTGGTGCTGTTCCGGGTTTGAGTCCCGGCTCGGACGCGGGATCTTTCTGTGTGGAGTTTGCATGTTCTCCCCGTGCCTGTGTTGGTTTTCTCCGGGTACTCCGGCTTCCTCCCACAGTCCAAAGACATGCTAATGGGGTCTAGGCTGAGTGACTACTCTAAATTGACCATAGGTGTGGCTGTGATTGTGAATGGTTGTCTGTCTCTATGTGTTTGCCCTGCGATGGACTGGCGACCTGTCCAGGGTGTACCCTGCCTCTCGCCCGAAAAGATGCTGGGATAGGCTCCAGCCCCCCCATGACCCTACTAGAGGATAAGCGGAGGAAAATGGATGGATGGATGGATGGATGTTGCATGTTCAATCCCATGATGAGGAGAAGGTGGAGAGATGTAGGCCAGATTAGAGGTAGGTGAAACTTGCAGGTATGCCCCAGAAAAATGAAATTTTAACCACATGTACGTTAGCCCTACTTACCGCAGGTTATGATCAGGTGTTTCATACATTCGATTCTAAATTTACTATCTGTGTTTGTGTCTTGCTTTAGTATAGTCACCTGAATTTTATTACTGTACATTGAAACACATGCCTTGGAAATCTGCCTGACCTGTATGAGTGTTCTTTATAGTATTCTACTCATACCAATTTTTGTGTCTTTTGCTGTGAGTTTAATATTTGGTATTTTCTATCCTTCAAAGCATAAAGGACATATTGTTAACCTTAGTGTTTCCTTTCACATATGGTATATTCTACTGCGCGCACAATATATCACAACAATTCTAAGAAATGCTCATCTGCAGTTCACATAGGAAGTGGCTAGCTAACAGGAACACAAACATTGGAGCCATTTCTTGTGAAATTATGACAAACAACGCAACAGGAAACTCTATGATACCACCTACTACAACTTGTGTATGTCCTCTGACATACAGCTGTTACACACATCAAGACTTACCGCCCAAGAGATGGGGAACAAACCCCTCTGACTATTAGCAGAAAATACCAAGAACTCCAGATCTGGTGAGTTACAATGTAAAGAAGAATGACTTTATAAGCATCATGACTGAAATCAATAAGATTTCTCTTTTTCTTTTTTCTTTTTTACAGATTTTGAGACACAGGATGCAAACTGGATATACTCTCTTTTTTTTAATCTTCCCCATTATCTTGGAGGGATGCTGTGTGGGGAACCATCAAAAGAAACAAACGGGTAATTCATTTACGCAAAAATTTTGTTATTACTAATGCTGTCTCCTTTTTTAGAATGTGCATTTAAAATGACAAAATACGACTCTGTAGCAACTGCACCCGTAGGTCTTCAGCAGGAAACTACACATTGGCATTACAGAGCTGTGGAGGGGGAGAGCTTTATGCTACCATGCAAAGGGCACATAAACTTGGTTTGTTGCAAGCCTGGAGACAGCTTGGAAGGAAATGGAGCTCAATCCTTCAACTGTGGGGCAGAGGTCTCAGTTGTGGCAAACCATTCTGGGCAGTACACATGTCTCACATGGTAAATAATGTTTCTTTTCCTTTTAATTTTAATAGAAAAAAGTCCTAGACTTCTGCTCCTACACATGTCATCATGCACCCTTCATCATTTGCCATTTTAATCAAGTTAATATAGTATATGTATAGAAATAATAAATGCATTTTTACATGCATTTAAACTTAAACTTTATAACGTTTAAGAACAAAATGATCAGCTGTGCCTCTGTATGTTTTTGTTTTTGTATGTATTTTTCCAGTCACAGAATCATTTATAATTTCATTTATAATTTAGCTGAATGTTTTGAATGCTTTCCATGTGTTTTTTGTTGACTAAAGCAGAGATTTAACATCTTAATAGGATAATCTTAGGTTGTCTGTGTACTCTTCTGTGATGCCAAATGCACCTTTACTTCCTGGTCTGTTGTTAGGAAAATTAGTTCATTAGCATCACTGTTTTTTTAAACTTAGGAAGATAGCAAATCAAAAAGCTACAGCCAAATGCAGTGCTGAGTTACTGAAAAGTTGTGTTTAAAAAAGTCTTTATTGTTTTGCTTTTTGTCTTAAAGGTAACCTGTCGAGTTGCTGACTTCTCATAGGCCTATGGAGCAATGTCTTTATGATATGTTTGTCCTCACGCATGTGCACCAATATTAGCTGGTGCGACAACATTCCTACCAATGGTTTCATACTATTGCACTGATTTGCAGGTAGCAGTAATGCTCCAAGAAATGCATTTATGCACCAAGAAAAGCAGAGAAGAAGAAGAGTGCGCGCTAGTAAACATGAATGTAAACATTGCTGAATTTTTAAAGAAAAAAAATCTGTATGTAATGTTGTATGAGGAAGAAAATGCGCATTTGTTAGGCCTCAGAGGTGCGCATAATTGTTTTGGTGAGAAACACTGACACAAAAAACTCCACAGGGAACCTTTAAGTCTAAATAAATAAACAGATTCATGTCTTAGAGTTACTCCAGTCACAGTCAGAGTCCACACCTCTGGTTATTAATTCTGCAATTAATGAACAGCGCCATTTCCGTCCAACTGTCAACACATCCCAATTTTGGGCTATGAATGTAGTAAAGTGTTTGGCCTGTATCTGAATGTACATGGGCAGCAGCAGTTGGGTGTTATTGACAATACACCAATCACAGATTGAGGATTAAATTCAGTGATCATTTTTTTACTTACAATAAGTTTTTTAGCTTGCCACTATAAATGTAATTAATTAGTAATTAATAAATTGTTATTGGCACAAACACAAACCCCAAAAAGACATTTATTTAACAAACTAATAATAATTAATAGATAATTATTTATCTGTGAATTCTTCATAAATGATAAATATGAATTTCTTAAAGTCATTAGTCACAATTTAAAAAAGCTTTTTTACTAAATGGCAAATAATGATGTTTGTGTGTGATGTGTGTAGACTGCTTGTGTTTGCATGAGATTCTATTAAGTGTTCAGGTCTCTGCTGTCCAGTGGCAGCAAGTTCTTCTTGTATCTAAAGGTGGTTGCGAAGATCAGTCTGGGATGTTTCCAGCCCAATGAGAGCAAAGTAGAGCTGGTCAGCGGTGTTGGTGGGAATATCTCCTGCCCGGGACACGAATGTAGTAACAGCACAGATGTCAGATGGTTCAAGGTGACACACACACATGAGCAGGGTTATCCAATGGAAACATCTAAACAGCTAAAATTCAGACAAGTGTGCTTTCTTACAGGGTAAGACACCTATGTCTGAGCAGCGAAGAGCCTCCTGTGAAAAGAATGGGCTGTTACATCTCTGCAAAGTAAAAGACAACTACGATAAAGGTGTCTTTTTCTGTGATAGACAAATAATTGAGCACGGAGTCATATGGACCTTCAGGAGGGCTGTTGAAGTCACAGTTGTACGTAAGTGCTGTGTGCTCTGTGCTGTGTGTGTGTGTGTGTGTGTGTGTGTGTCTTTTTTTTTTTTGTAAAATATCTCTACATAGACATCAATAGAAAGTTAATAGAAACCTGCCAGCCAATCAGAAATTTGTATTTTCCTTGGCCATGGTATAATTTAAAGGATGAGAAGACTCATGTCACTCAACTTAGTAAAATAAAGTAGAATAATACTAGAGTGCAATAATAATCAAATAACTTTACTTCTTTGGCAATTATACACGTAACCTTATTAAAAGACTATTTAACACAATAAGATCTTGTAACATACTCAGAGACGTTTATTTGTCAAACAGATTTTCTCAGTTGGCAATCTTTGTCAAAACACTCACTCTTACACAAAATTGTTTATTTGAAAAGATGTACTGTATATCAGAAATATTTGTTTGATCTAGGCCAGGTTGTTCTTTCACCAGTATATAAACATTTTAATCATCTTTTAACTTCCTTTGGAATTCAAGGCAAAACTATTTTTATTAATCTAAATAACGATTCCAGGAAAGATGTAAATTACTCGAGGGATGTCTACATTCCACTTTCTTTGGTAAACCTATGCCCTATAGACCTTCTGGTCAGTTGAAAATACCAAAAACAACAACCCTACCTCAGAGAGGTATTTCTTCACTCACCCTTTAAATTGCATCATATCTTGTTGCTAACCCAAAAACCATTTCACTTCCTCCTCCACAGCAGGCAGTTATTCATTTGTGTGCTTGATGCAATCATCGCTCTTCTCTGCCAAAATGTATGTTTAAGATAATTATAGAAATAATATCATCAAATTAAGCATTCTAACATAAGGACTACTGTACATGCTGTACTGTTATTATTTAAAATATCTTGAAATATCTTGAAAATCTCAAAATATCTTGTTTTCAAAGAGCACTAATGGATTGGTCTATCACAAAACTTATCAAAGGGTATCACAAGAGTAGCTCCTCCTTAGTGGTCTTGCACGCAGTGTTTCATTATTGTCCCTGCACTGCATCACTAAATCAGATGAACCACTGGAAAAGCCAATAAGTCATCATACAAAATTCCAGCACCCTAATTTCCACATAATTTTCTCTGAGCTAAGAGGTATACTACTTCCTGTTTTGCCACTGAATGTTAGGTTGTTTTAAAGATCCCCTTGTTACCATTTCCATATGATGTTTTTTTTTAAATATTTTTTATTTTTTATTTCATACTGTATTTTTACATTATTTAAAACAGCTCAGGAACTTTAAGTGTTTACTGAAGACAGCAGTTCCAAAAACACATGCCATTCGTCTGTGTCTGTATGTTTATTCTGTTGTATCCAGTGGAGAATTTACTTTCCCATTGTCAAATAATACAAATAGTAATAGTAAGTTGTATTTTTGCTACATTGGAGTGGATTTTTAAGTTAGACATTCATCTTTCAACTTTCATTTTTCTAATCATCACTGAAGTTTTCAAAGGAAACCTTCTTGTATTTGTAAAATTTTTAAAGAATAACGCTTTCAGCTATTAATGAGTTTAAACTGTACACATTAAAACGACAACATGAAAAACAACATCAATGCCAAAACAATAACCTGTAATATTACAATTATGAGAATGACATGAGTTAATGACATTAATAGTGCAAATAAATAACTGTACATATTATGATAAAAAATAGTGGCATCTGTGGCTCAGATTTAACTAGATGTAACAATCTGTGCCACTGTCAAAGCGATGTAAGCTCCCCACTGTGGTCCAGACTGAAATATCTCAACAGCCAAAGACATTTGTGATGCTCAGAGAATAAATCTTACTTTTCTTCAAACGCCACTCTGAGGTTTACCTTTTCGTCTTTTTAGCGAAATGTCTCAGCAGCTATTTGATGGATTGCCATGAAATCTGGTACAGATATGTCCCTCAGTATGAATTGTAATCATTTTGAAATTCACTGACCTTTCCTCAATGGGTGAAAATTGTAATTTGTCCAATACTTTGCTTTATGACCAAATACCTGCAAAACTATCCTCCCATTAGCCTCATTTCTACTTTATTTGTAGTGCTAACCAGGAAATGCTAGCATGCTAACACGCTAAACTAAGATGGTGATCAATGTAAGTGGTGTACCTACTCAGAGTTAGCATGTTAGCAGGTCATAGATCAAATCTGTGCTGTCTCAAACAGAGGCGGTAGAATGGCTTTAGACTCAGTCAAGTCAATTGTATTTACATCACAAATCACAAATTTGCCTCAAGGGACTTTACAGTCTATACAGCCTACAGCACCATAACCTTACTCCCCTGTTGAGTCTATATTTCTCAAGATTCAAGGCATTGGGTGGTTGACAAAGATCACCTGTTGACCTGTTTGAATGTGTCTTTGCATTAAAACCCCTTGATAAAAGCAAGACAGTAAACCACATTAGAGTTAGCCTACTTTTGAAATTTTTGTATCCATCCACTTTCTATACTCATTCATGTCAGGGTCACAAGGGGCTGAACAACGCAGCATGCAAAACTCTACTCTAAAGCAAGGTTATTGTTTAATCAAGTTTTGTATATAGATCCTGCCAGTGGCATTAGATTTTTTTTCCACTTCAAGCTGAGTGTCTTCATTTCCCTGATCATATAGATTGTTTTTTCCTACATGTGGGTGCCACCATGTGTTGAAGTAGAGCTCATATATAGTATGTATGAATGTTTTTCCCAGATGATTTTCCAGTTAACTAGGCAGAATATACACTGAAAATGTGACTTTATTTCCCAACCCAAACTAGCCTTCAAGAAAATAACTAACAAGACAAAGATAGAGATTGTGTATCCTGAGGCCAACATGACAGTCAAAGTGGAGCTTGGTAAGTGTATTCAAATGTGCTATGGAAAAATCTAACAGCTATCAGAGCTAACAACTAATAGATGGTTTTGGGCATCTTTTTCAGAGACATATCAGCCATGTGAATTCCAAATACAGCAGTATCAAAATAGTAACAGTTGTTTGCCTTCTCAAAGTTGTTTTTTTTTAAGTCATTGTACATATCAACTCAGAACTGATGTGTCTCTGGGCTCTGGCTTTCAAAAACAATCTAACATGTCTTTCTAATGAGGATTTATTGTAATTACTGACTTTTTATACACAAAATATTGCAGTAGCTTATACAGTATCTGAAACAGCTCTGATAATGACATGATGGTCTCATCTTTGAATCACTCATTTGTTTATCTACGAAACTGGTGTGACAACATTTTATTATTATAAGTTGTCTTCACTAAGGGCTGGATTTTAATGCCCATGTTTTTTTCTTGTTCCAGGTCGGTCTCACGATCTGACCTGTATTGTATATTTTCCTTATGAGAATGAGAGTTCAGCAAAGGTGCGATGGTACGTAAATTACAGTGACAACATGAAAACTACGACTATACTACACAAGGAGAAGCCACAGTGAGTCGCTGCAGTCCCTCAGTCAATGTTTGCTTTTGCCTTCAAGTAACTGTCCTTCATTACATAGTCCAAGTGTTTCCTCGTTAGGATTTTGAAAAATCTGACAATGTTAACATGATGATTCGGCTTGGCTTGCATGATAACTTTTCTAAGGTTTTAGGATGCAAAGCAGCTGAAATGCTTTCTCTGATTCAGAAATAACCCGTGGTACAAGGTCACGGGGACAGCCATCATAAAAGAGGTGACTCTACAAGACTTGAACCACACATATACCTGCATTGCCAGTAATACCGTTGAGAACAAAAGTGTCACTATCAAGCTCGAGGAGAAAATTAAAGGTAGTGTTGTTTCTATTGTCACCTTCATGTTTTTTTTTTATTTTTTATTGATACCATATTTTGTCATAACATTGTAACATTGCAGTTCAAATAACTGCATATGACACATGACTGCACAGTAGAATATATGATAAAATCTAAGGGAAAGTCCCTCCAGGTTTTCAATCAGTAGTGTCAGATAGGGCAGATTGTGTATTTTACGCTAGGCAGCTGGATGTGTCACCATGCATGGAAAACTGTAGACAAAGCTGCGAGCCTGCAGACTGACAGGAGCCGCCCTACTCATACTCTTGTGGCTGGAAAGAGGGTAGCATTTGACCCATTTTGATGTCATTGCTTAAAACTGGAAAAAGTTACATCCAATTAGGTCAAAAATGCTGTAACCAATCCAATGAGCTCAATGGTGACACCATCCGTAAGGCAACTTATTTCTGCAGACATTTTCAAAACACCCATATTTAACCACTTATGTCCACTGACTGTGCTGACGTTAACTTTGAAACATTGGGCTTTTTGTGAAATTTTGTGCAGGCAACATTTAATGCTGCATTTATCAATATTTTTTACATTTATAATGGATCAAATGACAATACTTAATGATCCACAATTTAGTTACTGGTTAACGCTCTCATCAGTGTCATTGTCAGCCACAACAGACAGCTGTTTTTAGCAAAACAGTCAGATAACTACCTATCCATCCATAAATGAATAAAAAGGTTAGCAACTAGCGAGAGTGTCCAGTGGACAGAAACATGACTATGAATTAATACTGATGTTGCTCTGTGTCTGCTGGAGCGTGTAAATAAGCAACTGTTTGCTAACAAGTTTGCCATATCAACTTTATATGGTGATAATATGTCAATTTTGTCTTTACAGCTTGTCTCTGCTGCCCCTAGGGCAATTATTACCGCTTCCAAGACATAATACAATCTATTAAGTGTACTTTTGACTTGGTTTCAGTAAAATGGCCGTCACTGGTTGGGTATCCCATTGCGTCTTTGCTGGTGGTAGCTGGGCTGGGGATCATTTTTCATGTGAAATGGCTGGAACTACGGCTTATCTACAGATCCCACTTCCCACATGGAAAACGTGGAGATGGTAAGAAAGCAAACACACACACACACACACACACACACACACACACACACACACACACACACACACACACACACACACACACACACACACGCAGTGATAGCAGCAACTCTTCTGGATAACAGAACAGATATAAACTAAACTTTTCCTACAAAAGTTATATGTTGCCATGGATTAAGTGTGTTAAACTGTGGGCTTCTACTTGAGCCTATGTTTGTTTACATTTGTTAGTTTGCAGTGGTGTTATCATGTCTGTTGTGATCAGGTTTGACTGAATCATGGCTCAGATTTTTGACACAAAAACTGAAACTAACATGATGTCTGATGTGAGTTTCAGATGTTTTTGGATATTGATATTTGATGACTTGTTCAATTATTTTATTCCTCTGATTTGTTTTGGAGATCAGTTTGAGTGTTTTGATACGATATGTGAATAAATGTAACCAGTAATATGAGACACGAGGAGCTCTCAGCCTCTTTTATTTTGTCAAAGCAGCTCTCAGAGGAAACAAGGTTGGACACCCTTGCAACATAGGTCAGAAACCTAAAGCCCAGCTTTTGAAACTTGCGTGCTCACTCTAGCATCCTGAGCCAAGAACTGCTCTTCTTCACAGGATGTGGTTTAGCAACTGAATACCTCAATCTCCACAACAACATGAAGATGCGATTTGTTTTCAATTTATTTAACCCAACCCACAAGCATTACATTAATAAATTAATCAAAATATTATGATAATAATTTGAAACTATCTTAATCCGGTGCATGTACTTGAAAAATGTAGGTAGCAAACTATGATACTGTACTTTGTGTAGTAATGATAAAAAACCAAGATGGCAATCTTACATCTAATTAATCTTATCAGTCGATCAAAGTGCCCAGGTTTCTAAGACAAAATTGTCTTTCACAGATGAGAAAGAGTTTGATGTGTTTCTGTCATATGTGTGGACCCCTCGATCACCAGAGGCGGAGGGAGGTTGGACGGTTCCCTCCCGATCAGGAGCTGGCACTGATGAGGAAGGTAGGTCCAACACGTTCAGTGTACGATATCTGGATTTCATTTTCATGAAACTACACTGGTAAAGAAAATTAACAGTTACTTTTATTGGCAGCACATTTATCCATCATGGACCCACTGAACACTGAGGAGGGTGAAGCCACCCAGAGACCACTAGAAGTGCTTCTACCACAGATGTTAGAGGAACGGTGGGGGTATCGCCTCTGTCTGCTGGAGAGGGACGTGCTTCCAGGAGGAGGTCAGTGTGTGTGTGTGTGTGTGTGTGTGTGTGTGTGTGTGTGTGTGTGTGTGTGTTGACTGCAAACGTTCCTGATGATTTCCATTTTGTATTGCAGCATATACAAATGATGTGGTCCTTGCAATACAGAGAAGCCAAATGCTTATCTGTCTCCTGTCAGCTGACTACCTCTGCAACAGCAATGCTGTGTTTGTACTGGAATCTGGAGTCCAGGTAGGCCTACATTTCAGGGAAAGTAGAATACTTATGCCACACTCATGGCATGTTATCATAATTTTTGTTTTTGACTTGTAAATAGCAACATCCAAGTCATATTTACGATTGCGAAAGTGTTGGGAAAACAAACAAATATGGAGGCCTTACATTGTACAGTGTAATTAAGACCAAGTTTAGTGGCTATGGGTTTACTGTATACTATCGAGTATTTCAATTCTCACCAAGTCTGTAATCATACACCCATTGTAATGCCCTGAATGATCTTGAGTCATTAACAGGGGAAACTTCCCCATCACCACCATGCATCACATATGATGTGAATGTAGCATAGCCAGAATCCCAGTGGTAAGTGTTACTTTGGATGGATTAACCAAATGAAAATTATCAGTCCTTTTAAGTTCATTTAAGTTTTTGCTTAAGTTGACACTTGCCCATTTTGAGACAGTGAGCTTCCTCAGCAGTGAATATGTTTGCTGCAGGTCTGATGGTGATGACTGGAACCCCACAAAAAAGAATTGAACCACCTCCTCTGCACACAATCCACTGGCGCAACAATCCTACTTTTAATTTAAAGTGAATGCTTTTAAGACAATACTTGCAGATACCACGTCTGCCATTATATAACTGGGAGAATTTACATGTTTAGCCCATTATGTACACATTGTATACTTTACTGTCTGAATTGTGGTTGGCAGTAAAGTATACAATGTGTAAATTATTATTTAGTATTTTTTCTAGCCTTCCATTTATTTTTAGTTACATATGACTAAACAACAGTACCCATTTTTATTTGTCCTCTGGTTTAATTTTAGCACTTTCACTGATGTAAACTGAAACCAGCAGCTATGTTGATGATGGGAAAATCCGTTTGAAAATGTGAAGTACCATAAGCCGCAAACAAAACCACTCGTATCCTCTGATTTAGTACAACTTCTGAGTTGTGATGAAAGGTTACGTTTGTCTTGATGATGATAAATCAGTTTTAAGTGTGTATTCATTTAAACCACTGGTTTTCAGTGTTCAATTCATTAATGATTTGCTATTTGGTCCATATCTTTAGGCTTTGCTGCAAAACTCTGCCTTTAAGCTCCTGCTAATTCAGACCAATAGAGAGTCAGCATCACTCATCCAGCAGGACTCCCCACTGCCCACACTGGTTCAAAGAGCCTTGAAGGTGCTACCGAGTCTGAATTGGACGTCAGGCAAACCTGCCAGAGCCACCCGCAACTTCTGGAAGTCTTTGAGAAAGGCAATGCCCGATCAGAGAGTGAATCTGGTATCACTGATGCAGGACCAATGATAACACTGCATTTTTTTTCCACGTGTCTAGCATATTTATTGACTGTATAATATAGAAATGCAGCTTCGGTTAATGCACTGTTAACTGAAACTGCTCAGCCATGTGTCAAAGGAAATCCCCATGATGATAGTAAGTCAAATCATAACGTATCATATTCAAATGTAGGGAAAAAGTGAGTCACCCTTCATACCAAAAATAAACATTCACTCACCCCTGTGAAACAATCAATCACTTATCAACTCAAAAATTTGAATCATAAAGGCAATGACTACAAAAGATATAGGATTTGTACATGGAAGAACATGTAAAAAAAAAAAAAGTTTTTAAAAAATAGACGCCATTAACAATTGAAGAATAGAATCATAGATATCAGCCTTTATCTGTTTGTATATTAGTATCAAGTACAATAAACTTATATTGTGACGTGTAGTTCAGCAATAAACATTTGACGCAATATATATGATCCAAAATGTTTTATTTTCTTTTACTGTGTTCAAGAGTTATGTTTGATATAACAGGTCATAGCAGTGGATATAGATGTAATTTATTTAGGAAATTCTGCACAACATTGAGGTAACTCAGAGGAGTTCAAAGTTTAGATTTTTGATCAGGGGGATTTCCCAAAAATAGTTTCAGGCACAGGAAAAGTCACTGAGGTACAACATTTATCTAAATTAAAAGGATTGGGGCTATATTTATGAAATGTGGGCTTTCTGATGTTAAACTGGCAATGAAAAAAGTTTATAAATGTACGTAGTCATTGCTAACCTATATTTTAACCACTCACATATCATCTGATGTGACCGTTACCAGCACCCTTGTATCTATGTCATGACCTTCTCACAGTTGTCAAATAAAAACACATTCAGTTCTTCAGTTGTGAACATAGAAATGAAAACAGACACATTCCCACAGATAGTTTGCCAGATTCATTGAAACGGAAAGAAATCAGTGTTGAGTCAGCCAAACCAGAACTACTGGCACAAAGCTCAAACATAAAACAAAACCTAAAAATCAAAGAAAAGGCTGCCTATGAGGTGGCACAGCTGGTGAAAACACAGGGTTGTATATTGATGTTGACAAACTAAATAAAAGTCTAGTCCATGCCCCGCTTGCTCCACACGTTAACATAACATTCAAAATCACACTCCCACTTGTGGATTTAAAAATAAAACATTATCACACTTCTATGTACATTTTTACACAAATATTAGGTCAAATTAAAAGCTTGCTCAGGACCACACCTAACCAGCTTCAGATAGGAGCAAGCATGTTGTAAAAGGGGCATGAAGGCTCTAAGATGCTAGATTTTCTCATTAGCCAGCAAAAAGCAACTGCAGCAAATTTAATACAGTTTCCGCAATATTCTGGCTAATTTGTTTGTCCCATCTCTTCACTCCGCACCTCTTATCACAGGGGCCTGGTGTCTCTCCTCTCAGTTAGCATCAGCCGGTAGTGGTTAGACATGTAAACATGAGTTCAGACAGAGTATCATGGAGAGGCTAACATAATTCTCCACTGCATGTCTGCAAACATGAGAAGTTGTCAAAGCTGAGGTTACGGGGAGGAATCATGTGAGCCTTCATAGATATCTCTGTTTAACCTAGACAAAATGATCCATTAGTGACAAAACCTCTGGTAGTCATTTACAGTTTGTCTGCTTGGGCCTTCAGCTTCCTCTCCCAAAGTTTTTGATGATCAGAGAATCCTTGCTTGCCCTTGTTGAAGGAATTAGGTCCCGCAGATGTTGGTGTCTCCCTGAAAAGATAGGAGATTAATCCCTTCAAACTCAAACAGAAACATGTAAGATGATTACTAGCAATGTAGCAATTAATTAGAGAGGATTAAAAAGCTGAGGAAATAATTATTAGGTACATCATGTATGTGTATGTATTTACCTGCCAATGTTCTTCATCCTCATCTTTGCTTCTGGGGGCATCTCCTCGGGTTCACTCTGCATGTCAAGAGAAAGTTACAGTCAACCTCTGCATATTTGTTATTTATACATTTATACAAACATTCAATTACTATGTGCAGGCGCACTTACATCATCGTCTTCGTTGAAAACAGATGCCAGCCCTGCCTTTTTTGGAGGCAGTGATGGTACAGGTTCTTTGGGTTTCTAAAACAGGTTAGGGACATAAGATTTAGGGAAACAAAATAAAACAACACAACCAGAATCACACTTCTTCACAGTCTTCATAACATGCAAAACAAAAGCCAAAAATCCTTGAAGTTGATAAGTTTAACTAGAAAATATTTGGCATTTTTACTTGATACATGACTTGATGATATATTTATTAGCTCTATCAACTGACTCAAGGATAACTCAACTGTTTTGGCACCATGTTGACAGTAAGAGTCAAACGGTATGCATCTGTGACTGTTAGGGATTTTGGCCTTCATCCTTTTTGGGCCTCTTTGAGGAGTGTGCTATGTGAATTACTTCTTTTGAGTGTCTGGTAGCATGATATCCATGCCCTAACTTTCATGTTATGGTGCGTTTCTGTGTAGATGTACCACAGTCTATGATACAAGTTAGAGTTACTTTTACACAGTCTGTGAAAGCAGTTAACAAGCATTGTTACACACTCACTGTTGCTCCAAGTTTGATAGATATGGGGTTTGACTTCTTCCCCATCTGACTGCTCATGCTAAAGCCTATTTTGGAGACTTTGCAGGGTGCTGGTGGGTCTGTCGAGGATTCATCTTCATCCTCTGGTGTGAGATGCTGGGATGTGCGCTTGACTGCAGTCCCTTCTCCACCCACAGTGCTAGAAGAGACAGGCTTAGTTTTCACTCTGCCTCCCTCCTCCTGCGGCCCTGCTTGAGGCAAGACAACTCACCAAGGTGAACAACTGTTTTCTGTGAACTGGAGAATAATAAAAGTTCCTAGCCATCAACGAACCAAAGGTAACTTAGGTTCCACTTTGCCATTTAACTTACTGGTTTATAAGTCCACCTGGGGACTGTGAGTGCAGACACTATCTATAATGTCAAGGTTTACGTTAACTTACGAGAACTGTACGCAGGGTCTGAAAGCAGATAAAAGTAACATTGTTAACCTGCAGTAACTAGCTTTGGTCTACTACTTGCACACTAGCTAGGCTGACGCCATGTTAGAAAGCTAACAAGAGACCCGTCTGCTGGAAGCAAGTCTTTGCTTTATTACCTGGCTAACATTAGCAGTCACTTTAGCCCAGTGGTTACAGCCAGCCTAACTTTCATAGCTACATAGATAATGTTAATACAATGTTAAGTTGCTTCGCGTTAGCATTAGCTAGCCAAGGATACAGTTAACATTACGTTAGCTTTGTGAAGTTTTACGATTGTTTCCTCTGTTTGACGTTAGTTGTGGCTAATTTTAATAGGTAGGCAACAGATCAAGCTAATGCCAAACACTGTTTATTTGTTAACATTTTTAGACGTTAAAACAGCTCAAATATCACCTCCGTCGTCGGTGCAACCCTTGCGTTTATGCTCGTAATCCGCCATTATTGTTCTTCTCGAACTCGTCGGCAGATGTCGCTAGTCTCCTCGAAGCGTCGTGCACACTTTATATAAGAAGAAGAGCATGGGGGAAGTATGACAGCAGGCTAATGGCTAACTCGATAAACAGAGAGCGAACTGGTAAGACAAGAGCCACAACGACAGTGATTATGCTTTTGGTATGTTATGTTTAGCTGCCCATTACGCCAGGTAATTAGTTATAAATTTAGCTCGCATTAAAAATCGATGTTAATGTCGCATTTTGGCCAGTTTAGCCTGGAAGTTGTTATGCTCACGTCAACGTTAGCTAACCTTACAGTTCATCTGTCACTTTGTGAAGTGTCTTAACATATGTTTTTCTACAATAGCCCAGTATCTCGCAGTGTGCTTTAAATAATTAATGTTTTTAGCTAGTAAGTAACATTATATCTGTCAATGTATTTCTTTGACTGTTTCTCAAGTAACTTCTATTTGCCCCTTTTCTTCCAGGCCCTTTAAAAGCTTTGTGTTAAACAATGAACCAGTCAAGATGGGACAGACCCTGTGTATATGCTCCCGTGGCTCCATCACCATCGATAATAAAAAATATTACTTTGTCCAGAAACTAGACGAAGGGTAAGATGACGTGTTGTGAATCTAAAACTCTATTTAACTTAAACTTAAATGTGGTGATATTTTTTAGTTGGTCAATTAGTTAATAAATCCCATAAAAAGACCAAAATCAATAGTGAATTAATTCTACAAGTTTGTCTGTGGAACCAAATGAAAACTGTATATTTGTGACTCATTTTTAAAGACTGACATCTTCAGTAGGAACAAATAGGCCTTGGGGCTGAGAACCACAGGCAGACTAGGAAAATCGTGAAGTACTGAGAGAGCCTAATTTGGACTAATATGCTCCACTCCACGCTCTGTCCTCTTTTTAGTGGTTTCAGTTATGTTGATCTGGTTGAAGGGGTAAAGGATGGGCGCTTCTATGCCCTGAAGAGGATCCTGTGCCATGACCGTGAAGGTCGCCAGGAGGCTCAGACAGAGGTGGAGATGCATCAGATATTTAATCACCCCAACATCTTGAGCCTGGTTGCACACACCTTTGTTGATCGAGGAGGCAAGAGTGAAGCCTGGTTACTTCTACCTTATATTAGTGTAAGTAGTTGCAGCAGTTATTGTGACAACAATAATCTTAAAGGGAAATTGTCTGACTCTGATATGTTGGTCTGTTTGTGTGAACAGAAAGGCAGTCTATGGTCTGTTCTGGAGAAGCTAAGAGACAAGGGGAGCTCAATGCCCGAGAAACAGATTTTGCAAATTCTGCATGGCATCTGCTCTGGACTTAAGGCTATTCATGAAAAAGGCTATGCACACAGGTAATCTTTCTCCACATACATACACTCACACACACACACACACAACATTTACATGCATTGGACCAGGGGAAAAAACTCTTGTGCTGGTTTGTAGTTCTGCACCAGTGTCTGTCTTGAGTCGAAATGACTTGATTTCTGGAAATCTGCACTCCCTGCACTATGACAGAAACTGATCTATGGGGACTCAGCCATTTGGGAAATTAATTATCGTTTTCCATGGATTCACCCAAACAATTTTCGTTCCTTACTGCTTAAATCACTGGTTGGCAAGAAGCACTTGCAGCATATGTCTCATGACTTTGATTTGAAATACTATGTTAATTTTAATACGATGAACTCCCATATTTAAGATAAAAAAAATGGTTTGTGAATCAGAGAACACATGGAAAATAAGAATAACTAAGGGAAACATAATCAGCAGCAGAATTACATTCGCTGTGTTTCATTTTATGGTTTGAGGTAAAAAATGACTGTGGATTATGCACCTTCCCAGTCAGCATTTAATACAGAATACCTGCTCAGGATTAGTTGAGGATACTGTGTTCGATTTTATATCCCAATGAAGGTTTCCTACAAAGTGTGGTTGATCTTTCAGCTCGTAAGATACATTTACTGTGTATGACCAACGACATTAAACTTAACAGAGAAATCCAACACGGTTAGGAATTTTAATGTGAGCCTAGTCAATGAGATACTATTTGCCAGACCATTTTTTAACATTCATGTTATCATTTACTCACTTTGACAAATGCTAACTATTATGTGTTCCTTATTATATTAACAAAATTACAGACATCTGAACACATGCCATATATGTGCTATGATTTGACAGAGATCTTAAGCCCACAAATGTGCTTCTGGATGAGGATGACAGGCCAGTTCTGATGGACCTGGGCTCTATGAACCGTGCCAGGATTGAGGTAAGGGCAAAGGGACTATTAAAGAGTTTATAACATTTTACTGATCACTTTATAAGCATTGATACTATTGATTTAACGCCCAAAACCCAAATTGTTTTAATTGGAGTCTGAGGTCAGTCAACCAAAGCAAGATGTTGTTTTGTTTGTAAGGTTGTACTCTTACTATATAAGAGCAAGTTGCAAGTTGTCATGATCACTTCCATTATTTTATCTGTCAAAATTAAAAGTTAATTTTTAACATTATCAATTTGTCTCGAAATTTAAGAAAGGGGCCCTAAAATTAAAGCAAAGTGATGCAAGCAGGCTAAGACAAGTAGTCTGCAATATCGGGTAATGTCCAACTCCAGATACCACAACATTTAGTGGCAACTCATCAAGTCCCTGTGCAGATAATGTTTATGAGTGAATACTCACTTTATTTGACACTGTTTTAGAAAGAAGGTCCAGATTTCCACCTCTAGATGGCACAGTAACATTTTTAATGCCACAAATTGAAAACATCAGATTAGTACATTAGATTGAACAGCCACTGGATATTGTCAATCATGTATCAGAACACATCTTATAACATCCTAGTTGTTTTGTGATGATTTGCAGTGCTTGTAGCACTGAATGTACCCCTTAAAACACTCGTATTTCACACTGGGCAATCTGCTGTTTTTGGTTTATCTCTTAACACAACTGACATCATTACAGTAATTACAGACTTTGTCAAGCTAAAGGATAAGTATTAACATATTAGTCACAGGTTGCTAAACTTACCTGCGGAGCATCACTTACATATCCAGAAAGTGTGTTGGGTTTTTTTGTGCTGGTTTGGCTGTGTTTTTTAAGGCTTATCTTTTGAACATTATGTCCTCTGAAATGATCTCTACCCTGTGAAGATTTTAATAAAACTGAATTTATTACAGGTTAGAGGTACTAGAGAAGCCATGACCATACAGGACTGGGCTGCCCAGCGGTGCACCATTTCCTACAGGGCTCCTGAACTCTTCAGTGTAGAGAGCCACTGCATTATAGATGAGCGCACTGATGTCTGGGTAAAGCCTTATATTCTTCATTCTTTAGTGTATATTATGCATCTTGTTTTCTTAAGTGACTTTGGATCATTCACTGACTACTTTTTCTCATTGGCCGCGGTCTTCCCTTACTCCAGTCACTTGGCTGTGTGCTTTACTGCATGATGATGTTGGAGGGACCATATGACTTAGTATTTCAGAAGGGGGACAGTGTTGCCCTCGCTGTCCAGAATCCAGTGGTCATCCCACAGTCTTGCAGGTGAGTCCTCAGACTGTAACAATATCTTCCTGTTTAACTTGAAGAAAGTTTCCCATTGATTTATCAGTTACGGTTACTGCCTAGGATAGTAGTAGAAACAAGTTCTGCCATTTCTTACATTGTGAACTTTAGGAAAAGAAAAATGTTAGAAATGTTAGTGCCCCAAAGTAACTTTAGTTTAAGTTTAATAGAGTCTGAATTGCCAATTGCAGTACAAACTACTGAATGTAGTTTAATTCTATTTTTAACTGAACAAAGATGTAATGTGAAAACACAGGTTGTGTTAATTTTTTTTAGTTAAGGTTATTTTTGTTGTGTATGAATTTACCCAATTTCCTGTTGTTTAATTTGTGTAAAACAAACAATTCAAATGAATAATGATAATGTGATTTGTGTTTCTGCCGTATGTTTGTGCTCAAGCTTTAAAGTTATTTATTAAGGTTTGTATACCTGCACACTGATCAAATTTAGTTTGTCCTAATTTGGTGTCTGTCTTGTGTCCAGTTACTCAGAGGGCCTGCAGATCCTGCTGAGCTCCATAATGGTGTCAAATCCCCAGGAGAGACCAAACATCAATTGGGTTCTTGACCAGGTACAGGACCTGCAGAGTCGCAGCCCCAACACCCACACCAACATGGTCTGATCTTGCACGGTGCACTAGATTTGGGCTCTTGAGACCTTTGCACACATAAATGAACCCCTCTTATTTTAGACCTGAAAATATTTCTTTTATTTATTGACTTCAGTGTAAAAGCCTAGGTACAGACTTTCACTCAGCTTGGGGAGCTTGGCAACAATGTGAGATTTTAGTTTGAATGATCCGATCCAGCCTGCATATCACACTGGACTCTTGGAATCCTTATAAACTTACCAAATCTGAAAGGCCTTAAATCTATTTTGACCCTGAAATGAGAGGATTTTGGCAAGGGTCAAATGTTCCTTCTAACAATGAAGTGGCTTTACCTTGTAATCTTAAAGGGACAGTACAGCATTGTAAAAAATACACACATTCGCCTTCTCCGAGCGTTTCATAGGAAGATTGATAACACTTTCATGTCTGTCCATTCATTGTGAAGCTGGAGCAGCAGCCTGTTAGCTTAGCCTAGCATACAGACTGGAATGAGAGGTAAACAGCTAGCCTGGCTCTGTCCAAAGGTAACAAATTCCACCTACAAGCACTTCTGAAACTCTCTAATTCTCATGTTTGTCTAAGCTGTACAAAAACCAAACTGTAAAAAAGACAAGTGGTCAGTAGTTCTAGAGGGTGCTTATGTGTAGGGTTATTGTTTTACACATTAGTGTTTATATGGATTAAACAAAAAAGATTATTTCTTGATTTGTTGGCTTTATAGGTGCTAGTAGGTGGATTTTGTTGCCTCTGGTCAGCAGCTGGCCAGCTGTTTCCCCCTCTTTCCAGTCTTTATGCTAAGCTAAGATAACAGGCTCCTGGCTGTAGTCTTTGCAAATATGCATATTTCTAGTGTATTCCTTTGTCTTTAAATAGTAGTTTTGATTTTTTTTTTTTTTTTTTATAAGAAAAGGGATAACATACATGCTTTGTTAGACTTTCTGGTGGATGAAGCTACCTGAGGTCAGTACATATCAAGATTACATTACCTTCTAAGAGGAAATATGGTCCAATTCCCTTTACCTTTTATCTCAGTTCCTGAGTTTGGTGTGTGTAACAACTTGTAGTTGCATGTGTGTTGTAATCATCAACGTATAACTTTGCCTTTAGCTTTTCTCTACACCGTCACTCACACTGGAAAAGTTAAGAGGCAGAGTGCTCCTCACCTGCAATGCTGCATTTGAACACACAGAGGTGCTCAAGTATCACAGTCCCCTGCTCCACATACAGATGTGGTGATTGACCATCTTTTTGTCTGTACAGTTGGTAATGTGTGAATGAGTTCTTACTGCTAACACAAAAAGAAAACAAATCAAAGAGGAGGGGTCGGTGTTGTATTACACAACTTAACAATAGAAAATGAACTCACAAATGTTTTTATTAACTAAGTCAAAGTTGGTGTCATATTTGGCATTGCAGTGTAACCTTTTTTACTTCACTTTTCACTGTATTGTGTTTTTAAACAGTTCTTTCCATTCCAGCTATCCTTGTGTTTAATTCTGGGTTTCCTGTCATGTGTAAACATTGTCTGACACTTTTGTTCTCTCAGGGTTCACCCACATCTCAAAGAATCAGATGGTCTTTCCTAGTAGACCTAAATGGTACCTTTAAAACTATTATTAGATCAACTAAAACCTTGGGCATTTAAGTTAAGATTTATGCTTTTGTGACTCTGTAATGTAGTGATATTGGGCCATATTAGAACTGAAAAAGGTCCTTGATAGTTGACATATGCAGTTAATTGTTGGAATGGTAATTGACATACTGTTTAAATATATTATCTTTTTAATGCTGAGTTTGGATATGTCAAATGACTATGAATTTTTTGTGTAGTTGTTAATGGCGAACTAATACTGGTATCATGCTGCTGGTAAACTAAGCAGTTTTTTAAGTGTAATGGTAAAGTTCAGACACTATAATCAAGAGTGTGTTATTTGATGATTGAGAATTCTGTTGAAATTATTTTTCATCTCTTATTCTCTGCACAGGATAAATAAATGTTAAATATGAAGCACTGTGGACACAGTTTTGAATATAATTGTGAAATGAAACAACATCCAATATATCGTATTTAGCATTCGGTGTAGGTGAAGCAGTACCCAAATACATTTACTTGTACCACCCAGTCATTCCGATGCACATAATATGGCCAAAGGTATTTGAAAACCACTTGTAATTAGTGAATTTGGGTGCATAAAATCACACACATAACCTTGAAATCTCAGCTGACAAACACTTGGGTCATTCTGAAGAGCTTAAAGAGCATGAAGAGTGTCACATAGGAAGCCATCTTTCCAATTAGTCAGTTAATAATTTTTTTGCCCTGCTGTCAGTGATGGAAGAAGTATTCACATCCCTTATTCAGGTAAAGGTAGTAATACTACAATATTAAAGTATTCATTATAAGCAAAAGTCCTGCATTGAAAATGTCAGTTAAGTGAAGGTTTGCAGGTGTTATTAGCAAAATGTATATAAAGGATCAAAAGTTACCCCATAAGTGTTGCACTATTATATATAATGTTACTGAATTATTATTTCTGATACATTAATGTGTAAGTAGCATTTGATTGCTGTAGTTGGTTGAGATGGAACAAATTTTGACTGTTTTATACACTGTTAGGTACTTCAATCTATAATCATCATATTTTATAACCTAATCTTATATTTTGCATGTAATTTAATTAAATCTTAATTTCTGCATTCTCACATTTACCCCGCCCTCCCCCAATGTCAGCTGGGATTGGCTCCAGCCCCCCCACAACACTAAAAGCATAATAATTTCTGCATCTGAAATTACATCTTATTTACAACCATGTGTGTAGAATGCAAAGCTACACCATAGACCACAGAAGTACTAGATATGGACAATGGCCCGATCACGTAGGATGCATGCGTCTAGTGTTAAGGGGATGCCAACAATGCAGGACATGGCTGAACTAAAAGTCAAAATCTGTGCTGTAGTTACTATTAAGCATAAAGCCCCTTTTAATCTGTAAAAAAAAATGTCATGGACTAAAAAGTTCAATGTTTTTCACTAAAATGTAGTCGAGTAGAAGTAAAAAGTTACATGAAATGGAAATATTCAAGTACAAGTACCTCAAATTTGTATTTAAATACAGTAATGAAGTAAGTGTACTCAGGTTAATTCCACCACTGCCTGCTAGATTTGCTCCAGTCAGCTGTGATTGCTGTTCCACATTATGGCGTGATGTCTGGAAGCCACAACACCTCAGCTATGAAGCGATGGGCCACAAAAGCTCAGAAAATGAGACCACAGAGTTCTGAGGTATGTAAAACTCACTGGTTATCTGTCAGTAGGCTACTTACTACCCAGTTCCAGACATTTATGACATGGGTTTCCATGGCTGAGCAGTGGCACTCAAGCCTAAATTCACTGCATGCAGTGCCAGTTGTTGAAGGGAGTGGTGTAAAACACACCACCATTGGACCCTGAAATGATTTGAAGGTGTTGTTGTGTTGGAACGATGAATCATGCTTTGCTATCTGTCAGTCTGATGGATGAATTGTGGTCTCGTGGATCTCAGGAGAATCTCAGAAGCTATCTCTTTGAATTCATAGTGCCAGCCATGAAGTTTGGTGAGAGAGTATTTAATGTTTATTTCCAGTAAAGGGAAATCTTAATTCTGCAGCATGCAATAATATTTTAGACTATAGTGTGCTTCCAACTTTATGTCAACAGTTTGAGGGAGACACTTTCCAGTTTTAGCATCAGGGTGCCTCTGTGCCAGGTTTAGTGCTTACAAACTTGTCGGGCCTGCACAGAGCCCTGACCTTATATCCGAAACCTTTGGAATGAACTGTACCATTGACTGCAAGCCAGGGCTTTTCACCCAACACCAGTGCCCAACATCACTGGCTAATTAGCAGCCAATCTTTCAAAATCTTTTGAAAAACTGTCTGAAAAGATTGGAGGCTATTATATCAGAATATAATGTGTAACTGCTTGGGTGATAAATTCGGCCATTTAGAGTTGCAAAGATCACTACTTGTGACATTCATGCCTTGGGAATACATTGTGCACTCAAACACCAACAAATGTGTCTCATGTATTGGTGATGGTTGAGTCAAGAGAGGTGACTATTTTTAAGTGTCGTTTCTGAATTATTCAGGTGTAACACTCAATTTAGAGCTTTTGAAATAACAGGCCAGTTTTTTCAGTATTAATGCACTTTCACATTAAATGAGAAACGCTTCACTTTTTAAATGAAGTTGGCTCAGTCTCAAATTAATGGACAAACAAGCACAACCTTCATCTGAAAGTATTGAGCACCGGTGGCCGTTCTCTGCGCCTCTCTGTGTGCCTGTGTACGGATTTGTGCAGACATGCTTGAAAACAAATATCAAACTGCTCATGTAGCTGGATTTACAACCTGTACGTCCACTCAGATCAGCCAGATGTCACATTTCACTGCTGTCCCAATTACTTTCGAAGGTAATTCCTACCTTACCAGGCACAAACGCACACACTCAAATGACCAGTCATAAAGTATACACAACATACCACATATTTACAGTGCAGATGCCCTTCTATACACAAACACCCTGAGGATTCATTACACTTTAATTAATGATATCCCGGCTCATTTCTTCCTCAGGCCCACCTAGAAACCCCAGACTCCCCTGGGACTTGGCTCAGGACGGAGCTGTGTTTATGGGTTCAACGTGCCCACACATAGACACTCACTCACTCACTCACTCACTCACTCACTCACTCACTCACTCACTGTCGCTCTCAATCCCCACTTTTTTGTATTCACTATCATTTGCCTGTGAGTGCCTGAAATGATGTCATACAACACAAGCGCAAGGTCAACTCAATGTTTGCCTACATTTTAGCACCAATTTCATGCTTTTGCTTGTCATTCAGTTCGGCATATCTTGTGTGTGTGTGTGTGTGTGTGTGTGTGTGTGTGTGTGTGTGTGTGTGTGTGTGTGTGTGGTTTCATTTGTAACCCAACCCCAGTCCTCAGACACAAACACACTTTAGCTCTCACACCATAAACCATCTACAGGCTTTATTGATTTGGCGATGAATCAATTAGTGAATTATTTAATTAGCAAAGCATTATGGGTCAGCACAGAGCTGCTCCCACCCTGCAGTGCTCCTAGGTCTCTTTAAATCATTTTACACATATGTTTGAACCCCATGTGGGTGTTAGCATGTAGTCGTATCTGTTCAAAATGACCATACAAAAAGTTTCCGAAATACAGTGAATTCAGATATGATTCCAGTGAGACCTTTTAGAGTCACCCAGTAAAGTTTCTGTTGTTACTTGCCAGACGAGGGATCTTATTTCTTTAAAGCTTTATGTGTACAGACCCGGAACTTTCGCTGTCACTCAAGTCCAAATTAGCCTTGGCTGCAGCTGAAAGAGGGAGAAATATGGACATTACGTCTACCCCATTGAGTGGATGAGTTATGGCTTGTGTTCGTGATCAGGGGGTTCTTTCCGTCCAGGAGCTTTCTTTGTGCTCATTAATTCATGGGAGTGTTTGGGTTAAAATGCATAATGAGTTCATTAAGGGGGATTGGCGTAATCAGTAAAGGTATTGCCTTAATTACTGGCACAGGGCCAGACCTATCCGTTCTCTGTGAGATCAGCAACCCACCCTGTCCACAGAGCTCACTAATTTAATTAAGTGTACAAAATGCTACACCCTAACGTCGCCCTTGGGGGCAATTATGGCACTAGAGATTGAAAGATCTCCACCGGGGGTATTTTACTTACTGGCAGGAGATTGCCTGTGTCAGTTAGCTGATTGCATTGATTATATTGATTTGTAACAGCTTTTCGGGTAATTTCATCTGCAAAGGTGAGAGCAACACGTTGGCCCAGGGACTTTTTATTTATTCTTTCTTTATTTAGACCCTGGACTCTTTTGCCAAGTGATTAGATGAAATGGAGCTCCACAATAAGTCTTTTAAAGTGGGAGTTGGGGAGGCAGGATCGATAGTTTTTATTTGCCGTATAAGGTCAGTACAGGTTGGATGTTATGAATTCTTTTAAAGGCATCACAACTCTTTCACCTACAGTGGAGATGCATGGCTGTGCTGAGACAGCAAGAAAGTGGCTTAACAGGCAGCTAGGACAAGATCTTTAGCTCATAAGTTGTAATCTAGTTTACCAGAATCACACAAACTAGCACATATAGATAGATTCCTTCATTTCCCCCCTTAACTCTATACTGAATTTCACAGTGCTCAGAAAGATACCTAATATGTTCCCTACCAGTATGGATACACACTAGAAAAATGCTTACATTTTTTATGAGATACAATCTATTAAAAATTGTACTTTCAGCCAAGGTTCATTCAGTTCAGCAAAGTTGAAAAAGAAATGTAGAATCCATTAATTCAGTAGATACCACTGCCGATATTTTTAAATGAAGTCAACAATAACCAATATAGAAATTTTACACAAATTTCAAGTGTTACTATAAATATGAAAAGAAA